AGAGCGCTGTTTGAACTAGTATGGTGATTCCGCCTTGTGTACCAATGCCGTCATTCGACAGATACGTGCCAGTATGGTTCCTAGCCCATTCACTTTTGCTGAGACATCGCTACTCCTCCACACGGACTATCGGTATTCCTCCACAGTGTAACCAACTTTCATGCGGGCAATGTAGCAGGAACAGCCACCAACAGGCACCAACCAGAACCAACGTGTTGGGTTGCTGTTCACCGCTGACTCGTTCACAGATCCTGCAATCGCAATTTAAGCATGACACTATCAACAGGGCAAAGATGTCAGCGGTTCGGACTAGGATGCACTAGGCAAGGCCTTTTGTCACAATTGTCTCAGTACCTCTAAACCCTACCATCTGCTTACCAAAACAATGGCAGAGTTGTGTGCATACCTTGTATGAGACGAACCAGCATACTGCAATCCTGTTACATTGAGCTGCAGGTCATGGATGAGCGGATCACAACACAGATCTTGCCCCTGACGAGCCTAATCCTGGAATTCCTTCCACTTGACCATCCTATCTCTCAAATCGACTTCCTTTCCGTCAATCACGAACCGGCCATCTCCGCGATGGTGAGCCATCTTCATTTCCCTCTTCCTTCGTTTGCCACCACCAACACGATCGTCGTCGTCTGCTGGGTCTCTGCTTCCCTGGCCATACTCTAGATCCATGTCTCTATTGATCCATACTCCAGTCACCTTCAGCACCCACAGGTTGTATCTTGCCACCAACGCTCGGTCCTCAACCGTACACTGAATGTTGGCTATAACATTTTTCCCTCCAACCAAAGGCGCCCGTGCTCTCCCTTCTTCACCCCCTTTTCTAGCCCACGACCCATCTGCAGATGCAGGATCAGGAGCTGGGACCGGGTTTATTCCAAAATTCACCCACTTGTTGACATCTTCCCCACTGCAGTTGCCGATATCAACGGCCTTCTCCAACATCTCCACCGCAGGAATGGCGAGCACGCATTCGCCCGTCTTCTTCAAGTTATCATAGCTCTTGTCCCACGGCCCAATGCAGGCACCGACAAGTGTTGGTCCTTCGTGCTGGATCATCATGTGGAAACCCATTGTCATTATGTTGTGCGTCTTGTTGGCTATGGAGCCGGTCGCCACAAGCAAAATGGGTCCAGGCTCCAGGAGCCGATTGACTTTGTGGATAGGATAGGCCACGAACTGGTCCAGACCATTGCGCTTATCATCGCCATCGTTGGAGCTGAATTCTAGTCTCGATTTTTTCGGTGCCCGGTCCGGCTCCGACTCCGACTCGTTCAGGGGCTGCTGCAAAATGACATTGACATCCCTTTTCGTATTCATGTTGTTCCTGCGAGACATAACTGCCGTAGGCCTCTCGTCTCCTTCCTATACAGGTATGTGCGGGTTGGAATATAGATGAAAAATGTACACACACCACTTGCGGTGTATTTCGTCAGGAAGACATTCAGAGGACCTCAAGATGAAGTGCTGTGAAGAAGAAGTTGCTAAATCGGAGAACATCCAGGACAAAGAAGTGCACCCAAACTTGCTTGCGGAACAGACTGCCTCTCCCCGCATTCCTAAGAATTCGGGATCGCGCAATCCTGTTGGTCGGCTCTTTGTTCCCCCTCTAGTGAGTGACGTACTCAACCATTGTTCCCCTTCATGTTCCCCAATGAATACTTTATCGACAATATCACAAGCAGTGCTTATATCCACTCTGAACGTAATGAATGCAATTACACTTTGCCATCGAAAGGACACACTCCCCTACCTTGTAGACAGAATGCAGGAAATATAAACTAGTATCTACCTACTACTTAGCCACAAACACATCATCATCTTTTGATATATCACACTTACCCCTTCCGCCTTGAACGTAGATAGTACTAGATAACCAAATCCAGCCTATTAATCCTTCCACAATCAATCCACGTCCATCCAGAAACACACCATGATAAGTTACTTTTCTCGTAATTAGTAGTGTACATGAGTTTTGCAAATAGTATGTATACTCATGCACTTCACATGATACAATCTGGCGAAGCCACGCCACTGTCATCCCTAGTAGTAGTAGTAGTAGTAGTAGTAGTAGTAGTAGTAGTAGTAGTAGAAATATTTGATCCAACAGATGGGTGGTAATAAAGTACACATCCGAAACAAAGACTACAACAGTAAGTACTACTTAGTATATTCACGATCAAAACTCAACTAGGTGATAAGTATAAATCCCTTAGTACATGAAATGTACTTACTGGCGACTCATAATAGGCTGGGGTTAGTACTCATAAGTACAATCAGAGCCTGATAAATCATATGCACCTCACTTTTTGAAATAAGTACTGCTGGCGCTGGCGGTTCGCATGTACTAAGTAGTAAATATATATATATATGGTAGAAAACTACTTACCCCTACCAGACAACCTCACAAAACTCAACTGCTACTACTACTACTACTACTACTACTACTACTACTACTACTACTACTACTAGATCATAAATAGAGTGACCAAACTCACAAACAATCATTGCCATCAAGATGCTAATTGTCCCCCCGAACAAGTTGACTCCGAGCATACATATATGGTAAGTAGATGATGCTACCATTGAGATAGGTAGGTGGTAGAGTAGTAAGTAAATACTAGTGAAGGTGCAGAATATATATTTGTAGTAACTTAGTACTAGTGTCCGGATACTAGTTACTAACTGAACTGGTCAACCATATCAATTAGGATAAAACACCAATTAACATGATAAGTTGGCGACTACTAATAATATATAGTATCGTGCCCACGCTTGGAAAGAATATCGTTATTCATCATCATGATGCTACCAAATCTCGAGGTCTGGGGTCATTGCATAGAAAACTACCCATTACAGCTACAGATGATTGACTGATAATCAATGCATCACGCACATGGTACACATTCATCCTCACATTAACTACAGGGCTGTCCGTCACATTACTTACAATCTTCCAGTCAAGGCTACTGTATGTAGTACCCATGACAAGCACGCGCGGCCCACCGCCATAGAAACAAGCATCGCAGAAATACAACAATTGGGGGGTTCTCGGCTCAATAACAAAAAGATTTGGGAAAATAAATGCTGTCCACGAGGGTAATCGACTAGAATACAACCCACTTCAAATAACGCCTTATCAAAAATGAGATCCTGAACTGATATACCTCAGCCCGACTCTTCGAGTCTTGACCTTGAGAAGCCCTTTGATGAGATAGAGAACACCAAGTCGAGAATGTAACCATCAATGGCTAGTGACTTGGGTGTTTCTGAAGAGCCGCAAGCCTTCACCAAAGTAAAAGTCACGGTCGGCTTTCTCAACAACGCTCCGGGAGGGTTGCTATCCGCCACGGGCGGCACATACCACACGTATGGAGCGAATGTGCTTTTCATAGCCAGTGGCTGAAGGGGTCATCATATCCTATCTGCAAACATGCACTGGTATTGCAAGGTCGCTGTATAGTCCAGCAGGAATAAGAAAAGGAGGGAAAGGATAGCTGTCGTGAAGGGTGAATTTATGGTGACAAGCGAAGGTTGTGTAAGGTAGGAAGAGGTATCTGGCAGGGCATGGCTCTATCATTAAAAGACATGCACAGATAGGATGTTGGTCCACAAATGGCGTTGTCCATGGAAAGCTGGCGATCGCATCCCTTCTAGCGTCGATCGGGGTTAGTCACCTAGTACCTGTTAGCCGGAACTCTTCATCTCTGTTCATCGTTCAGTTAAGCCCACCTGCAGGATGCGACGAGAGAAGTCTTGGTCATCATCGATGCTGCCATTGCTCTGACGGCGCTGCGCCATGAAATCACCATCGAAACGGGAATCCGACATGGAGTGCTGGGACATCGGGTTGCCATAGTTGTCCACACCAACACTACGACGGTATTGCGACTTGCGGTTCTTGAAGCGCCACAGGAAGAAGCCAGCGCCAGCAAGAGCACAAGCTCCTACCACACCCACGACAACGCCAGCTGCAATGGCAGCAGTGTTGGCACTTGAGCTCTTCTTCTGTGAAGCTTCAGTGGCACCTTCGGCAGTTGCAGATGCGCTCGCATCGGTTCCGGATGTTGCATACACGGTTTGCGTGGTGCCAGAGCTAGTGACGACATGGGCTTCTTGGGTCGATGATGTAGACGTTTCGCTGTCGCTGCTGGAGGTACTTGTGCTCGAGGCGGAATAATGGTCGACGTCGTTCTCAATGCCAGTAAGGTAGACGGAATAAGTATTGCTGCCACCACCTATATCGTCACCGTTAGCAGATGTGCCATCTGAGGCCCAAAACCGGAAAACCTACAGTCCACAGAAGGCCAGCCGGCACATGCGGTATTACACTTGCTGTCATCAACCTTTGCTGACGAGGCAGGTAGCAGGTTGCCGCAGAGACAATCCTGTCCGTTATGCAGGGCAAAGACTGAGTAGTTGTCCTTCAAACACAGCTTCTGACAGTATCCATCACTCTGATATGTATAGGTTCCCTGATCTTTCAGTGGCGTCGAGTCGGAGTAACAGCCATTGTATTCCTCGGTATAGGCATATGTTGCAGGCAGACTGATGGATAGGAGAAGGGCTGAGGCTGCAAGAGCCGACCGCATCGTGAATGATTTCGTGGTGTGGTACATGGTCGACGTAAGAAAGGATCCCAAGGGGTAAGGGTTGGTTGAGTTTGGCGAGAAGTGACCTCAAAGATACAGCGAGGGAGGTTGATCGAAGAATAAGGGACGACCTGCGTAACCCTTTGAACCTCTCAGAGCCACTTTCAAAGTTGATAGTCCTGGTGGTCTTTTCTCACTCCTATGTCCTCGAGCTGGACGTGTCGCGACGATCCTCCGGGGGTAGTGGAAGAGTACGGATAGGTTTGCAAGGGCCGACGTTGAGGACGAGTGACGTAGATGGGACCAGGCCTTGACGTGGAGAACTGGTCGGGTATAGACCGACAGTAGAGGGTCAGAGGATGGTAGTAGGTGAGGATTAGAGTGAAGATAGCGATGAAAGAGTGTGGTGTCTGCCCTGGGGGGAAGCGGTCCCTGGCGGGGAAGGGCCCTTTGGACCGGTCGTTTCAAGCACCCCTTTCTGTCGGGAAGAGTTTAATGAGCGAGCCTGAACGGGCGGTTCAGGAAGGGAAATCGGTCCAAGGGTAAATTCGCACCCACAGCAACAGGGGAGATTCTATTATGGCCCTTTGCGATAGATTCGAGTTATCCAGATAATAGAAGCTCGACCTGGGGGGCCACAACAGTTCTGGAGAAGCGAGAGTGGTATGAAGAGTTGGAAAAACGAAAATCCAATGGAAAATAGGAATAAAAAATTGCACAAAAACAATAATGTCCTAATAGAAGGCCAAAAAGAGTGACTGGGTTGAAAGCAGGAAAGAGAAAAGAGGGTCAGGGAAGGGGAAGGCGACAGAAACGATTGACAGACTCCTTCCTGGGACACAACAGGGTGACTAGTACTGCAGAGGCGGAGGACTGGACTGGGAAGGCATTAAGCGACGCACTGACGGGTGAACTAGTACTAGTAAGTAAGTAGTATTACTGTGTACTTCCCGTAGGGGGAGGTCAGAGACAACCTGAGGGAGGAGGAGAAGGGGAGAGGGGGAGGCCTGTGTGTGCCTGCCTGTCTGCAGCACCAGTTAATTAGTGAGTTAGTTAGTTTAGTGACTGCTGAGTTCGCCCGCGTACTAAAGTTTCCCCTACTGGGACGGTCGAGAAAAAAAAAAAAAAGGGACAAACAAAGCGTGAGGGAGGAGCATCATTCCCATCCATTCCCTGCCTTCTCCCCCAATGGCAGGGCGTGAATCCAGACGCGGTTCTCTTGTTGGTGGTTCCCCGACGGGACCTGACCCTGGATGTGCAGGGCGGTAATTTACCATGTCCCGCGTACCTGTCCCTGCTATCCAATGATATTTCTTAGATTATATTACATCAGCAGACCCGTCCAGGGGCAAGGGCTCATCCCTTTCCATTCTGGGCCACACGGGCGGCACAATTACAATTGGAGCTGCTGCTGGCATGCACTAACTAATTCATTCCCCCCTCCCCAATCCACCCGGTCATGGGGTGGGCAGGCATGATGACTGGTGGCGGCGCTGTATATTTACCCATACAAAGAGGGGGGATGGGAAGAAAATAGGCACATGCTCAGGCGTTTTTTGGGGGATTTTTTTCCCCTTCGTCTCAGCTCCTCCATAACATACTTTCCTTCCTTCCGTCTGATGCCGCGGTCGGAACTCGAAAGGCATGAAATGTGCGACTCGACTCATACATACTAGGCACATACCAGCATCTTGTGATCTAGTTGGCGAGAATATTTTCCTTCCCCTTTACCTTCATGTAATCTCCATATGGCTACTTACTTCGACATTCCATGCATCTTCCCTACTGAACATCTATCTGTCCCTTACGATCATTATTCGGCACTCCCGGCAAGACAAGTACACGTATTCAAGTCAAAAACATAAAGAAATGGAAAACGACCAAAATTGGAAGAAGCAACTCGAATTTTGCCCGGGAAGAGGTTTATAAATAGTAAAGATCCTCGGTACGACCTCGGGCACTGATGCCCTCTGTACGAGGACACAAGCCTCGCGCAAACTCACCCGTCCAAACTCAGCAAGTAATAACAACGCTGCTGCTGGCACCAGCCATTGAATGTCGATAGAAACGCCTGCTCCACGATGGACTTTTCCAAATCTGACTGACTAATGATGAGTTGTACGAGGTTTCATTTGTACCAGTCCTTGCATGACTGCATGACGGGCAGCGCGAAGTTTTCCCCTGCCCACTTGTAAGGAGATGCCCGGCCAAACCACTAGGTAATGGTATTGGTTCTGGCGTCAATAATGTATTCGGTCTCTGAATCGTTGCGTCATCCATCTCGAGACACAAGAACGTAAATCAACTACGCATCTACTAGTCGCATCAGACACAACCGTCAGTAGTGAGGAGTGTGTGTCTTCTCCCCCAAACTTTGGAGCCGACTCACCTCGAGGACGAACGGCGGAGGATGTCACTGGTCAGGGGAGTCGATTAACCGCCCAAACTCCGGGGCCCATCATCGCATCGCCATTCCAACAGTCGCTGAGAGCATCCAAACTAATCCTTTTTGATCCTTGATCCGCGTGGTCTACCCAATGGGATATCGCTGCTTGGGGGCAGCTATGCACGCCGTCACGGACTCGAGTGCTCCAGTTTGTTAGGAAGTAGTTAGTAGCGACCGGCGGGCCCTCTCCTCTTTCGAGTCAGAAAAAGAGTTCGAGTTACCTCGTGCTTGGCTTTACCGTTGAAGCAGTCAATACTCAATAGTGGGTAGCGATTTACAACGCGACACAACGCACTTATGCTCTACGTATCAGAGCTTCATTTGCCACATCACTGTTTCGGTTGAGGGAGATCCTCTTGCATCATTACCAACCTGCGACTGGAATGGTTCCGATGGTTCAAGACGGTCGGGTCGTTTCCGGGGTGCGGTGGGCGCGCGGTAGATAGTGGGACCTTTTGGAACCCCTGCAGAAGTGCAGCCTGCGCCCCGTAAAAAAAAAATAAGTACTTAGTAAGTGTTGTATATGTAAACACCGCTGAGTAGTAGTATCTACGCAAGGATTCTCCGCTCCCACCCCCCTTGACGCGTATATCTGCAAGACTCTATGCAGGCAATTGGAATCACGGCGCTTTCTCGACGAGCAGGAAATTCCGTTGCTGATAAATTGTAATGGGCTGATCGATTTGCAGGAGGTTAATTGATTGATTGATTGATGGGCAATGGGGAAGTGCAACTGATGACGACTCCTTCGGTCGGAAACTACTATATTCAATAGGAAACAACCGGCGACTTCTTGCCGCCCATTCTACAGGAAAATAGACACATGTCCCGTTACATCGTGCATCTTGCTTTTACTTTTTACTCTTACTCCTTTGGAGCGCGCGTGGAAGGAAGATGCTTGATCTTTCGCCACCAATTACATACCCACAAGTTTTATTTTGAAGATGGGAACGAACATGCACGATCAACTGTTCCCGTTTCCCGCGCGCCCATGGAAGGAATTCTAGAAGTATGGAGCAGCAGCAGCAGCAGCAATCCTTCTTCACATGCCGAATAAGCTTATCGTCCGTTCTTTTTCCATCATTCCAGGCCTAGTAGGAACGGGTGTCTGAAATTTAGCATTCTCCGAGGTGTCTGTCGTGGTTTTGTCTATGTATGCTGCGATGGTTGTAGATTTCCACTTCACTGGCTTGCACTGGCAAGGCTCGACTACCGACTAACTACTTGAACACCATCCACCTATGTCAGCACTCCCAAAATAGTACGGATACACCGGGAAAAAAAAAAAAAAAATAAAGGTAAGAGCAAGAAAAAAGAGAGAAGAAAAAAAAAAGCAAGCAAAACAAAGATCAATTCCCACCTACTAGTAGCAAACGACCAGGAATAATATTGTAGAACTAGAAACTATCAACACCACAACCCCATCCATCCATCCATCCGCAGGGCAAAGGAAAGAAGATCACCCGGCACTGCCGGCAATTCAACCACTTGACGCTTTTCTCGGCCTCACCGGATACCACCTCCGACTACCAAGAGGTCCTACTATTAACCATTTAGCCAAAGACGGTGAGCGAGCGAGCGAGCGAGCAAGCAAGCAAGCAAATGAGTGAGTCAAAGCGACCCAGTAGATCAGAGTGAAACCCTGACCGAGGGGTCTAGAACGTGTCACCAGGATCCACGATGTCTCTCCCGGGGTTTCCATTTTTAAAAGTTCCGTCAATGATAGACCCAATCGTGAACGCGCAAGAGACAATAGCGCAGGATTTTCTATTGCTTTGCCAAGAAAGGGAAATCTCGGCTCTAGATACACAATAATAATTAACTGGGTTGGCTGAGGGAACACGCGGATGGATCATTGGGAACTTGGCCTGGTAACGATAGCCTCGAGGGTCTCACTTGGTTTTTGAGTGTGGGTGTGTGTGACCATGACTGACTCGGGGGGTTGAGGTAGGGTTGGTCTTGGTGACTGACCACCATTTCTTGTTTCTATTCGCTTTTCTTTCTGCTTGGTGGGATTGGAAGGAAATGTTTATGATGATCATGTATCTGGCTGATTATTGAGGGCGTAGGGAGTTCTAAGACATCTTGTTCTGTAATATTAGTAGGTCGAAGTTGGCAGGCTAGAACCTCCATAGAGGGCTTGAGTGGCCATCGGCTCCATCGTCTACTAGTTCCTGATCTGCTTATCAACACAAGAGGGACGGTTCCCCCATGATTTCGGACTCGGCGTGCATTGGTCTTCCCTCCATATCTGGTAGGTCATGTGGCATAGTTAGTTATTTGAGTCAGCTATATGACACATCGATTTTAACTATGAACATCGGATGTGGATGGATGATCAGTTCGTCGGGTTTCGGATTCCTACGTTGGAGCTTATTGCAAGCTACACCGTTATATCCTCTACGAGTATGTACTAAAGTGGTGTTTTCTGCACGAATCTGAGCATGTACTTGGTTTTGAAGTGAACATCCAATGCTACAACCATTCGCACACATGATACTTCTCTCAAAACCAATCTACAACAGTATCATGGTCGTGTCTTCCCTATCCGTTTAGAGGACATTGATCTTCGAAACATGCTCAGTATTTAGGACAAAGCAAGAAACATTGCGTAGCTGCTGCACGATGACATAACATGGATCGCCATACTATAAACCTATAAGGTATCGTCATTGCAATAAGCTAGAGGTAGATAACATTCTGTATACAATACCAACCCCAATACTTGCTGAAGATGAAGGACAAGACACTATGCAAGATATGCAAATTATTTTCATTTCTGTGACAACTGCGTTATCTTCCACAGATACATCGTACCATACTTTTTTCTTTCCCTATTATCCGGTCTCCCGTGGTGTATATTGCTCGTAAAAACATCTCTATCACATTTGGGAATCCTGATCCGGACAAGTGCCTGATTGCCCGTTCGGTTCTCCCTGCATTTAAGGCTTAGGGATATGCAGCGTTTTGCTGACCATAAGGCAGCCGTGCAGAACAAACAGCAGTACCAGCGGGTGGAATTCGAACGCTGTGCCCTGGGCTACAAGGCCAAGGGGTAGATCTTCCAATACCCAGTCTTTTGAGACACAGTAGGCCAGGAAAAAGGTGATCGACAATGTGGTCGGGATGGGGGTGCCCTCAAAGTACTTCGACTTTCCGGACTTGTCCTTCGGCAGAACGGCAACAGTCACGTTGAAGCGGGCCAATCGTGTCAGGCCGCACAGAACAAAGAAGGAGAGGAGCAGGTGGTCGAGGCTGGTGCGCATTCCGAGGGCAAAAGCTGCGGCGGCAGGTGCCATTCCGAAGGAAATCTAGAGCACAGAAAGCGAACAATGAGCGAAAGAGCCGCATAACAAGTGAAGTAGGGGACCATACCAAATCGGCCAGTGAATCAAGCTCTTGTCCCATGAGTGACGACTTCTTCCTCCACCTAGCAATCCGTCCATCCATGAAGTCGAAAAACAACCCAAAGGGCATGAATATCAAAGCAGCCCAAATTGCGCCAAAATCGCGAGGGTCACCAAGACAGTAACGCATCGAGGAGAAGACAGACATCACTGTTTATGGGCGGTTAGTTCCGGGTCCGCGGGCTCGAAGAAAGGAGAAAATTTGTGCTTGCCTCCACAGAATCCTATAATGGGTGTCAGCGAATGGATATTTCAGGATATGAGCCGGTCTGAGAGAGGATCTGGTATATTACCATTGAGTTCAGTTACCAGATCAGCAAGATGCAGAGCCCTGATGTGCGTAATTGTGTAAGTGAAGTGGTCGAACCCAAAGCAACGGACTCCCAATGGCTGACCTGATCATGCTAAAGTGACCTGTTTCGGAAGATAGAAGCATCTTTTGCTTTTCTTGAGCTGCTACCATTTAGCTTCGCAAGCTTTGAGGATCTTGTTGCAGGGATGCAGGCTCACCACCGTCACCCGCAGGTGGAACACCGCTAGTCGTGGAAGTATTTGACGGCATGGCAGAAACTCTGCGAGACATGCTCAGGTGAATTTGACGAGAGGAAGATTCTCGCAGGAAAAACAATCAAAGTAGTGGTGTACGTTGGATATATTGGAGAACAGGTTGCGGGGATAGGAAAGAAATGATGCAATGGTACTAGGCAGCTGTCTTCAGAAGTGTTGACAGGCGCACAGATTCTACGGCACAAGCGTGGCCAGACGTCATTGCAAGGCGGTGTTGTCATGCGCCACACTGTGACACTAGCCACTCTAGACCATCGCTGAAAAAGTTTACTGCGCCACATTTGCCATCCAGTCATATGGGCAATTTATGGCTTCTGCGAAGACCCGAAACAAGTAATGAAAGAACAATATTCCGCATAATCGATCGTAGCAATACATGAATTGGATGGCTGAGATTCACGACAGCCTCTGCGTACAGAGAAGCAGCAAATTTTTCCTAGGATGCACAAGAATATAGAGACAAATAAATTCCTGTAAAAGCTCCCGTTTCCCATAACGCCGTAAGAAGACAGTACTACCAGGCAAGACAGAGACTGTCTACCGTCCGCGGAAGCCTCCACCACGAGGTCCTCCTCTGCCACCACCCCTCGAGAAACCACCGCCGAAACCACCACCGCCACCACCACGGAAGCCACCACCCCGGGGACCACCACGTCCTCTGGGAGCGCCGCCGCGACCACCACGCATGGGGGCACCACGGCCACCACCACGGCCACCGCGCATGGGACCGCCTCTGGCACCACCGCCAGCTCTCTTGGGCTTGGCAGCACCTGTATTCTGGTTAGAATCAAACACATAGTATTGTTGCGCGAAGCGAGCGATATCATACCGGGAGCGGGCTTGGGCTTAGGAAGGAACCTAGTTTTGCAAAGTTAGACATGTTTTGATCATGATCAACAACAGCATGCAACATACTTCTCCAAGGGAAGGAGCTTGTCGCCACCAATGTAGACCTTGTCACCAGGCTTGAAGGAGGTCGCGACAATTCCTTCCTGGGGCTTGATGGTGAAGTAGACCTGGTTGATGGGGCCCAGGACTTCATCGACCTTACCGATAGGGGTCTATTGAAAAATTGCGTTAGCGCATCGCGATTTGCGGAGAGTATCTGAGTCGAGCATACCTTGTTCTCGAGGTAGATGGGGGCGTTGAAGTAAGGAATCTTGGGGTTGATGGATTCGCAAACCATCTCGCCTTCGCAAGAATGCATGACAGTTCCCATCTCTAATTACTCCGCGTTAGTCCCAAACACTCCAATCGCATTTTGGCGTATAATTACCCAGAACTTGGGCAGGGGGACCGAGAGGTTGCTGGAAACCTCCGCGACCTATCCGACGAAATTTTCGTTAGCTCATACCCAGCACTGCGATCGACCTCTAATGTTGCTTGAGCTCACCTCCACGGCCACCGAAACCGCCACGGCCTCCACGGAAAGACATGTTTAATTGCTGTTGATGCGGTCGACCTGGATCTCGGAGTCCGGAGAAGTTTTCAAATGGTGGGAAGCTCGAAACGGTAAAGTGTCGCTAGCCGCAAGGGCAGTTTTCTGTCACGTGGCTCACCGCCTTCGGTCCCTCACTGTCGATTTGCGTTTCATGATCGTCCGATTCCTTAGAGATAGTGAGTCAGACATCGTTGCTGGCCCTGCCCCTCTTCCCAGGTCTAATACTCCCAGGTCGTTCTTCAGACGTTTCTGGATACAAAATGTCTTCCGAAGGCGCAAAGGACCTTCCCGTCAGGCCGGCGGCCGACGCCAAACCTGCTGGTGAGCCACTGCCTGCCCCGCCATACGCTTCCCAAACCCCTCTTTTAACCTTCGAATGCGCCAGGTGACGGGCTCCCCGATTTCATTGTCGAACGTAACAACTTCTTCGAAGAACTCTGGCAACAATACCTCGAGGAACTCAAGAACAAGCCCCACCCCGAAATCAAGGTCAACCTCGAGCTTGGCGACGGAAACTCTATCGATGTCACCGCAAACGCCTGGGAGACCACCCCCGCACAGCTTCTGAAGAACGTACCCAAAGAGTTGAGCGCCAATGTTGTTCTCGCGAGGGTTGGAAAGGAACTGTGGGATCTGAGCCGCCCGCTCGAGGGAGATTGCACCGTTTCTTATGTCCCCTTCGATCACCCCGAGGGTAGGGAGGTTTTCTGGCACTCTAGCGCTCACTGTCTGGGTGAGGCTTGTGAATGCGAATATGGATGTCTTCTGTCCCACGGTCCTCCCACGCCCCAGGGTTTCTTCTATGACATGGCCATGCCGGAAAAGTAAGTGTGGGTGAGATAATGCGGAAGAGCTATACTGATAGTGAAATAGCCGCGTCGTCAGAGAGACCGATTGGCCGTTGTTGGACCGCCACGCCAACCGCATCTTCAAGGAGAAGCAGAGTTTCGATAGACTGGAGGTTACGAAGGAGAACCTCAAGAAGATGTTCGCGTACAGCAAGTACAAGCTGCACTACATCGACAAGCTCGTCACCGGAGAGAAGAGCACTGTCTACCGGTGTGGTACCTTGGTCGATCTGTGCAGAGGTCCCCATATCCAGAGCACCGGCAAGGTCAAGACCTTCAAGATCATGCAGGTGTGTATCATAATGAATCGATGCCTCGTAAATATATGGCTGACACCTCAAAGAACTCTTCCGCCTACTTCCTCGGTGACCAGTCCAACGACTCTCTGCAGCGTATCCGCGGTGTTGCTTTCCCCGATAAGAAGCAGATGTCAGAGCACCTGAAGTTCTTGGAGGAGGCTGAGAAGCGCAACCACGTTAAGCTGGGTAAGGAACAAGAGCTGTTCTTCTTCGACGAGGTTTCTCCAGGATGCCCTTTCCTTCTCCCCAACGGTACCAAGATCTTCAACGCTCTCCAATCCCTTTTGCGCTCCGAGTACCGTAAGCGCGGCTACCAGGAGGTTCAGACCCCCAACATGTATGATGTCGGCATTTGGAAGACGTCTGGTCACTGGGCCCACTACAAGGATGACATGTTCAAGCTTGATGTCGAGAAGAGGGAGTGGGCTCTTAAGCCTATGAACTGCCCCGGTCACTTTGTGCTCTTCGGCCACCGCGAGAGAAGTTACAGAGAGCTTCCCCTGAGAATTGCGGACTTTGGTGTCCTGCACAGAAACGAGGCATCTGGAGCCCTGAGCGGTCTCACTCGTGTTCGCAAGTTTCAGCAGGATGACACCCACATCTTCTGTACTCAAGACCAGGTGAGTTTTTTTTTTCACGATCGGGCTCGCATCCTGTTGAATAATCCGGAGCTAACACTGTAAAGATCACGTCTGAAATCGAGGGTCTGTTCGACTTCCTGCAGTCCATCTACGGCCTTTTCGGCTTCACCTTCAAGCTGAAGCTCTCCACCCGGCCCGAGAAGTATCTGGGTGAGCTCGAGACCTGGAACTACGCAGAGGAGCAGCTCAAGGCGGCCATGACCAAGTTCAAGGGCAATGACTGGACCATCGATGAGGGTGATGGTGCCTTCTACGGTCCGAAGATCGATATTACCATCGCTGACGCCCTCAAGCGAGAGTTCCAGTGTGCCACCATCCAGCTTGATTACCAGGCTCCCATTAACTTCAAGCTCGAGTACATGAGCAACGAGAAGGCTTCTGCTGATGCCGCTAAGGAGGGTGAGGCCAAGCCCAACGAGCCTGGTCCTGGCCGTGCTCGCCCGGTCGTTATCCACCGTGCTATCATCGGCAGTTTTGAGCGTTTCCTTGGAATTTTGATCGAGCACTTCGGTGGCAAGTGGCCTTTCTGGATCAGCCCTCGTCAGATCCTGATCGTGCCTGTCATGCCTGCTGTCAACGACTACGTTGAGGAGTTGCAGACGATTCTCCGCGGCGATAAGCTGAACGTGGACATCGACCTCAGCGGCAACACCATGCAGAAGAAGATCCGTACTGGACAGCTTCAGCAATACAACTTCATCTTCGGTAAGTGACATCTGAATCCTGCTTTTCGTGGACCTGCGCTGACAATATGAAATAGTTGTTGGCGCTTCCGAAAAGGAGAGCCGTACGGTCAACATCCGTAACCGTGATGACCCTGCCACCCAGAAACAGGGCGTGATGATTCCTCTCGACGAGGTCCGCGAGAAGCTCCGGGTCCTGAGAAAGGAGCGGAGACTGGTCAACGCTCTCTAAGCGAAACATCATTTTTCTTGCATCTGATCGTTTGCATCGCGGGTTCTGAATTACGTGCTACGAGATCTACGTGTCAATATACCATGACTTAGATACTAGATCGCATAAGAGGCGATGTCGGCAGTGATGAGAGATTAGACCCGGAGATTAAGACGAAGCGAGCGCTGCGTGATGCTGTGTTTCTTCCACGGTGATTGAGTATAGCCTTTGGGGTAAAAGTTCACGTATATGGCGGCAGAGGATATTGTTTAGAATTGCAAGGGCGTTAGAGCTAGCTGTTGATTGTTAACTGAGCCTCAATCCATGAATTATCTCATTTAAGAAGCGATTCATCTCCTAAGAAAGGGGGTAAAGTCTGGCCCCAAGGGCTGGCCGCCGATTGCGTTTCGGATGTCCGACCGTCCATTCCCGAAACGCGAGCCAGACTGCTCGGACTTAATGTACCACGTTTTACTTCTTCCCAATCCAACTTCCACTCCTTGAGGACCGAATCACGCCCTTTCTGACCGGGGTGAGGATGATCCTTGTGGTGCACACAATCTCGCGTACGGGAAGACTCAATCGCATCACCGTCATGACTGATCCATGATGGCTCCGCCGTTGCACCGTCGGTCATGGCGCCAATCAAGGGCGTCGGCACTAATCATCGCCGCGGCCTTTTTCTCCGCAGGCTTCATACTATTCTTCTACTCCAGACCTAGCTATGTTGCTCCAATTCCCAATCTCGAGTCCAGTCCTTCCCTAGCTTCTCCCGATGACACCAATCCTTGCTTTGTGGATCTCGATCTTCTCCGACAATACTCCAGTACCGCCACAGTACAATATGCTAGGCTCGAGATAGCCGTGACACCTACGGAAAACTTCACTGGTTATGCGGATACTCTTGGCACGCGCTTTCCGAAGTTTCGCACCGTACACCTAGTCACCGAAGCCCATCGAGAGACTCTGTCGCCGGAAAAATGTACTGCCACCGTGACCATCGAGGGGCCTCAACCCAGTGCACCCCCGGACGCATCTCATATCATATTCGGCCTTTCTACATCGATTGATCGCTTGATTGACTCCCTGGATGCGTTTGCGCATTGGGCTGCGGGAACCAATGCGCAGATCTTGGCTGTGGTGGATAGTGGGGGACAAAAGAAGGAGGCTGAGAGACGGGCGCAGGCGCTGGGAATTCGGCTTACCATCGTCGAGGAAGATAACGAGCGCTTGGATCGATACTTCTATCTGGTGCAGTACTTGTACAAGCACAAGGATAAGTCCACTCAGTGGGTGGTTATGGTGGATGATGATACGTTCTTCCCGTCAATGACCCGGCTGGTGGATCGGTTGGCCACCTACGATGCCTCAATGCCCCAGTATGTCGGTGCAGTGACGGAGGATTTGCAGCAGATGTACAGTAGTGGCTACATGGCATATGGTGGTGCAGGGATCTTCCTATCTATTCCGCTTCTCGAGCAACTCCAGCCGTGGTTCGATGAATGCTACGTGTTTAAAGGGGGTGGTGACCATATGCTTTCGCAGTGCATCTATAAGCACACGAATACTAAGCTCTCCTGGGAGCGAGATCTTTTCCAGCTGGATCTCCGGGGAGATGCGTCAGGATTTTACGAGGCTGGGCGGGCTCAGCCTCTCTCGGTGCATCATTGGAAGTCTTGGTTCCAGGCTGATATGGCGGCTCTCAGCAAGGCGTCCAGCATCTGTGGTGAGGAGTGCTTGCTCCACAGGTGGCTCTTACAGGACGAGTGGTATCTTGTCAACGGGTTCTCCGTGATCAAGTATTCGACCGTGTCAGACGATCCCTTGGCCATGGAGCAGACCTGGAATGCTAGCCAGTATACTGGTCCGAATCCGTTTACTTACAGTCTGGGACCACTACGCCGCAAGGATGAAAAGAAGATTTCCTTTCGGATGAGAGATGTAGTGCAGGAGAAGGATCGAGTGAGGCAGATTTATGTGCATGAGGTGACACCCGAGGAGGTGGAGGTGTTGGAGGTGGTTTGGAACCATGCTGCATAAGATGACTGTTTGATTAGATACACATAGACGTGGAGAGAGACACAGATAAATATGTAAGATACCGTATACAGGTTCTTCTCCCAGAATATGTGATGATGAAGACTATCTTTTTGGAATGGAAGATGTAAAATGCCTCAGGCACCAGATCATCGGAACTGATCGCGATGGACCCGTTGAATGAACCCACCTGGTTGTATGAAGTATTCCGTAGAGGCTCCTGCATTTGCATCCTCGCGACGCCGTTATGGAGACCAATGCTCGCTAATTAGTTGCATTGCTGTCTTCCTATGGGCTGCAACTCCTCCTGCATCTCCGACTATGAACGGTTCCCCTCAATTGCTGCAAGCTGCGCGCTTCGCAGGGTCCAATCAGAAAGCAATGTGCGTTGCCCGTCACACCTCGTCACTTTCAACGAACTCCATCTCGCAGGTTCTGTTGATTTCTCCTGTCGGTGGTGGGTATTCAGTAGTCTCTCATTTTCTTCTTTTTCAGCTTCAGCCTGTTGACATTCTTCGAGTCTGTCTTGCCGTGTCTCTGTTGATCCCGCAATTCCAGCTTCTCCTGTTTCAGAGTAAATCCAGACCCTCCCGGACATTGGCGGGGCGCTTGACCCAGACGACGGCCTGACAGACGCCATTCCTGGTGAATTGATTGACTGGTTCTGTACTTTCAACCCGCCGAGCTTGTCTGGAGAAAAAGTGACAAAGAGAAGAAAAAAAAAAAAAGAAAAGAAAAGAAAAAAAAAAGGGAAAAAGCAACCAAAGCCGGAGGGAATTTTCTCTGTGAGAGTCAGAGAGAGAGAGACGCCTAAATCCACCAGGGAAAAGAAAAGAGAGTCAAAAACGCACCGCCGGGCCAGCCCAGCGCCTACTTTTTTGCTACTATTAAGTGACTTAACTCAGTCACTACCCCACCTGGTGCCATCCATCGGAACAACTCTCTCCCTACCTCATCGACTCTCCCCCATTCGGCCTCCATAACTTCCCCTTTACTTCCCCCGCCTTCCCTCGTCTCGCTTCCTTTTTTCTTTTACTATCTTTCTTGTTTGTGTTCTTCTACTTTGTACGCGTGTTTATCATGGCCGACTTGCAGGGTCGCAAGATCTTCAAGGTCTTCAACCAGGACTTTATCGTCGATGAGCGCTACAATGTCACCAAGGAGCTGGGTCAGGGCGCATACGGCATTGTTTGGTAGGTTTGATATTCTCCGATGGAGTCACTCATCCTGGAGCATTCGCTATCGTTTCGATGGATCTCATTGTTCTAACAATATCAGCGCCGCGACAAATGCTCACACCGGTGAGGGTGTCGCCATCAAGAAGGTCACCAACGTTTTCAGCAAGAAGATCCTCGCCAAGCGCGCTCTCAGAGAGATCAAGCTGCTCCAGCACTTCAGAGGTCACCGTAACGTGCGTTATTCTTCCATTCCTTCCGATGATTGCTCCGAGCCTCGAGGCTGACGTGAAGATGGCTTAGATCACTTGCTTGTATGACATGGACATTCCCCGCCCGGACAACTTCAACGAAACGTACCTGTACGAGGGTGAGGCTTCTTTCTGTACCTACGGGTTTCTCTTCCTGCTGCTAACTTTATCTTTTATTAGAATTGATGGAGTGCGATTTGGCCGCTATCATTCGCTCCGGACAACCCCTCACCGACGCCCATTTCCAATCCTTCATTTACCAAATCCTCTGCGGTCTCAAATACATCCATTCGGCCAACGTTCTGCACCGTGATTTGAAGCCCGGAAACCTTCTCGTCAACGCGGATTGCGAGCTGAAGATTTGCGATTTCGGTCTGGCCCGTGGTTTCTCTATCGACCCGGAGGAGAATGCAGGTTACATGACGGAATATGTCGCCACAAGATGGTACCGTGCGCCGGAAATCATGCTGAGCTTCCAGAGCTACACGAAAGCCAGTATGTGTCCCTGATACCCCCCATACCCCGGCGCTGTAGCTGATCAATTCCCAGTCGATGTTTGGTCCGTGGGTTGCATTCTGGCCGAGCTGCTGGGTGGCCGGCCCTTCTTCAAGGGCCGTGATTATGTCGACCAGCTTAACCAGATTCTCCACTATCTGGGTACTCCTAACGAGGAGACTTTGAGCCGCATCGGCTCACCTCGTGCTCAGGAGTACGTTCGCAACTTGCCGTTCATGCCCAAGATCCCCTTCCAGCGCCTGTTTCCCAACGCCAACCCCGATGCTCTCGACCTGCTCGATCGCATGCTTGCGTTCGACCCGACGTCGCGTATCTCGGTTGAGGAGGCCCTGGAGCATCCTTACTTGCACATCTGGCACGACGCCTCGGATGAGCCCACCTGCCCGACAACCTTCGACTTCCATTTCGAGGTGGTCGAGGACGTGCAGGAGATGCGCCACATGATCTACGATGAGGTAGTGCGCTTCCGGGCTCTGGTCCGGCAGCAGTCGCAGGCGCAGGCCGCCGCGCAGCAGCAGCAGATTGCCCAGCAGACCAACGTGCCCATCCCCGACAACCAACAAGGCGGATGGAAGACGGAGGAACCCAAGCCCCAGGAAGCGCTCGCCGCAGGCGGTGGCCACCACAACGATCTGGAATCGTCGCTGCAGCGGGGCATGGATGTGCAGTAGGCCACTACTAGTTCCAATCTGCCGCTGCCTTCTTCAAATACAGTGTACATGTGTTCAGTTTAAGACAATGGTGGGGAGGAGAGGCCTGACTATTTGAGACGGATTATAATCATTATCGTTCCGGAAGTCGCGGGCGTTTCCTGGACTACCTACCGCTGTTATACGATATTATCGATATCGTTATCTATCCGTTATGCTGTCCTGTGTTATGCCCTTACTCCCTGTCTGCTGGGATTATGAATTCTTGAAATGCAAAACGTACGCTCTTGGTCGGCTGTTCTCATTGGATGGATTTTTTTTTGTCATTGATTATCCCCCGTTAAAGAAAGAACTGGTTCTACTCGCATCCGGGAAGTGTCGTTTTGGAGACATATCTTCGCCGGGAACCTGCTGCTTTGCAATTGAGCGCTGATTCGAACACGGTCTGCCTTGGTTGAATGCCTGATTCAATAGATAGAGTAGTCTGATAAATAGCATTTTGCTTCTCATCCCACAATTCTTCACTTCTTGCATGTATCAGCTAGTGTATTCTACCCAGCACCCGAATCTTTTACAAGCACTGCAGGTTATAAACCAGCCATAAGCATGACCGGTTATCATCAATACCCTACCTATATACTTTCTAAGTAGAGAATCATCACGCGATTTTCCACTTGGAATCCCACCCGCACCGGAAGATCCGATTCCACCCGCGGGAACAAAGAAAATCCCAGCAACTGAAAGCTCACAAGATATCAATTACCAAAGTACATAGAACCTCGATCATGATTAACCAACAAACAAACTAAGTAATAAGATCATAGTAATCCACATCTACCCAAACCCCGTCGTAAAATCCCTCAATAGCGCATCCCACTGAATATCATCCACATTGAACATACCCTCCACATCGCCATAGATACTATTACTATCAATATCTGGCATCCAGTCCTGAGGCACCATCTCACCATCATCCCTACTAATGTCCAGCTGATGATCCGTACTAGTAGTCGTCGTGGACAACGACGTACCATCCCTTGCTGTTGTATCATTTCCCACTACCGTCACCACCCCCCTAACCTGATAAGGATAACACCGCGCCAACAACCGCATCTTGGAACAAAGACTCCCTACCACGTCCATCTCTTTGTCTGCGGCGGATAACATCCATTTTCTGTTTTCATGTTGGAGCTTGGTTTCTAGTGCTGTGGCTAGCGAAGTGACCAGGGTGGGGTAATTTGCTGTGGTGATTATGGTTTGGATTTGTGTTTGTGTGTGGTCTTGGTTCGTTTTTGAGGAAGAAGAAGAAGAAGAAGAAGAAGAAGAAGTGCTCTTTATAAGATTGAGAAGTGCCAAAACAGCAGTGGGGATGTATCCCACTGCGGCGCAGATACGGGCGTTCGTTATGACGGTTAACAGGGGGATCTCTGATACGGGGAGGTTCGTGACCATTTGGATGAGTTCCTTGCTTCGTTGGATGAGGGTCATTAGCATGGTTGTTCGGATGGTCGTGGCGGGGTCTGTGGTCCAGAGGTCTTCGCGGAGGGATGGGTCCTCGAGACGCATTTCGGTGTATTTAAGTTCGGTGGTGAGGGCGGTTGCTGGTGGGTTGGTTGGATTAGTTATTACTTCGTGGATGGCTATGGGGGAGTGGTGGGTGGGGGAGTGGGTGGTATTAGGTACCTGTTGATGGAGGGCAGCTTGGGAGGTCCTTCTCTATAGATGTCCGTAAGTTGTCGAATTGTCGCTGTAGAGAGCCGCGCGTGACTTGCACAAGGGCACTTCCACCGGATGCTTGCATCGAAGCGTAGATTTCGTCCATCGTTGCCATGAATGACTGTAGATGGATGAATGGTGCGATCCAGCGATCTGATGGATACTCGGTGGTGGTAGTAGATGTTGCTAGACCCTTGAGGCATTCGTCAATTTGACTATCATGCTTCATGGTAATAGGTCTACCCAGTGTGCCACAGAACCTATCAATATACAATTAGCATGAAATCGCGTATAGGGCAAGCAGTCACTCACCCAACAGACAACCAATACGTCCCCAACAGCGCCCTCTGCTCATCCACACCCAACCCATCCCTCCTATGCAACCCCAAATCATGCACAATCGCAACACTAAGCTGAATCAACAGCAACAGCCTTGGATGATACTTCTCAGCAGGATACGTATACCACGCACAATGAACCAACAATCCACGAAGCAACTCGAGATTCCTCTCAGACCGGGCTACAATCCTCGAGGTAACATGGTTCATAATCTCCTCAGCGACGATCTTGCGCAGAGGGTGCGCACTGCCCATCGTCGCAGCGACGACACACAAGAATAGAAACGGCTCTTGAACCCTGAGTCGATCGGCTGTCTCGCCGTGCGGGATCAAAACAAACGGGAATTTGGCAGCGAAGTCAGCTTTGAAAAAAGTGAGCATACGCTCGGCCTCAGCTGGACTCAAGAGCCCTCGGTCTACGAGTGATGGTTGGCCCGCGAGGACAGAGCTGGTTGGTGGATTAGGGCCATGGGATGGGTCTTTAGCTGCGTCTAGCAGCGCGGCTATGTCTGTGTCCGTTGAACTTCCTTGGGAGGAGGAATCATGAGAAGATGTGTGCAGGTCTTTACTGTTAGTCGGTAGACTATCATTAGTAGAGGTATCAGGCGATAATGTCTGTCCGTTCTGCTGTTGCGTCAAGGTAGCCAGCTGGGACAAGAGCTGGTCGACTTTCTTCTCTAGGAGCTCTACACGGCTGCATTCTTACTGGTTAGCACTGTAAGTATCATTTGTCTTTGATAGAGGGAGCCTGTACCTCGGTGCAGCCTTCTGTCTCTGCTTACGCTTTGTCTGCGGAAGGTCAAGGTACGTGCACGACTTGCCTAGACGAGCGCACCGCTGGCACAGGTTGGCAGACTGTGGCGTACACTTCGCCTTGGCGGTGGTGCACGCCACGCATGCTCTCCTTTTGATTGCGGAGATTGGGGAGCTCATGATGTCGCATCGTGAGGAGTCGGGAACGGGGGAAACGGAGCGGCCGGTTGATGAGGTTGCTTACTCCCGCTTGCTGACAAGGAGTAGTAGGACCGGGGGATCGGATCGTCCGGTCGGGACGGTTGGTAATCCGCCAAATGTATATAAATGTCGACGAGTATAGCGACAGAATAACGCAATAGCATCAGACAGAATTTACTCATTTGATACTACTAAGATTTATTTATTATTACATTTCATAATCAATATCAAAAATGTCCTCATACGCCATCACCGGAGCCTCCAAAGGCATTGGCCGCGAATTCGTGCGCCAACTCGCCGCAGACTCAACCAATACAGTGCTGGCAATCGTGCGAAACCCTGAATCAGCCAACATTTCAAATCTCGCCTCCAAGCACTCCAATGTGCACATCATCAAAGGCGATGTCACGGACCCAAACTCTATTCTGGAGGCGGCCACGGCCGCAGCTGCCATCACGGACGGCAAGCTCGACGTGCTCATCCACAACTCCAACGCCGTTGACATGGATAGCATGGCCTCTACCCCAAGCCAATTGCCATTTGATGCTCAAGCAATTCAGAACATATTCAGCCCGTCGCTCAACACAGCTATCTACGGCGGTATATGGGCGACGAACGCTTTCCTTCCCCTGATCGAGAAGGGAGCGCAGAAGAAAATCGTTCACATCTCTAGTGGCATGGCAGATGTAGACCTTATCAATAAGGCTGGTGTTAGTAGCGGTGTTGCATATTCTATTGCAAAAGCTGGGTTGAATGTCACGGTTGCGAAGTATGCGGCGGAACTTGCGCCTAGAGGAATTAAGGTGTTGGCTTTGAGCCCCGGATGGGTTGACACGTGGGAGGGTAAGTCAATTCCATTGCTCTGACTTATTTGTCTTTGGACTGTAAAGCGGGAGATGCTAATGTAGTCGGTGACACAGGGGAGAAACCCGCTGGGGTGGTACACGCGAATGAGCTCCTGCTGAAGATGTTTCAGCTAGTTGAGCCTGAGCTCAAGGGGCAGATCCAGCCCGAGGAGAGTGTTAGGAAGTGTCTCCAGGTGATTGAAAATTTGGATGCTGGGTCTAGCGGGCTGTTCGTAAGTCATAATGGGGATAAGTCAAGGTGGTTTTGAGTATGTGAAATGTGAATATTGCATGAGTTGTCGGGCTGAATTAAACGCGCGGTGACGTACATAGGCCTGGGGGTTAGTAGTGTCTTAACTATTTCAAAATCGAGCAAATCTGGCTTTTAATATTATTTGCAGTATCTACGGCTGTAGATCGAGTGTGGGACCAGCGAGGCAGTCCCAGCCCTTGCGGCCCTGGCCTACCTGATCGACAGTTTGCGTTCTATGATCCCGCATTTTCTCGGTCATGGCCTTTTTAGCTTGAATTACTCTTTGATCTTCATAGCTAGTAGATGCGCTAGATTAGGAAGACCCCAGAATTGGGCACAAAAGGTAAAGCCAGAAGCAGACGTGGTTACTGTCAATAGGACGCGATTGGAAATCGATTCATCCATAAAGCCCACCTGTATTACCCTTGTGACCAAACGTATGAATCTGCCCCTCTCCAAGTATAATGAGCGGCGGCGAATATTTCTCTTCTCTTGCTGCCCTCTTGCGCAAACACTCAAGCCGATGCACAAAGCAAGGGAGGCGCCGAGCACACAGCCAAGAGTTGAAATTTCGAAGGAGCCCGTGGCACCTCTTCAAATTCCGAGTTCGGGAATGCTGTGACACCCACCTTCCATCTGATAACTTTATTGAGAACTGATTGGGAGAGAAAGAAGGAGGGGCAGCCAGAGTTGCGAAAGTAGGCGAGCGGCGCTACTCTAGATTAGGAAAGAATGGCGGCAGGTGTGTCAATCTGGAATGCTGAGGCGGATCAGATAACTTTTTTGTTTTCCGACCCGGGGATGCCAGCGCAAGACGAACCACCTTTTTACATCATTAGTCTCTGTGAATCCGAAAAAATTGTGGCAAAGCTCACTTGTATAAACCTACCCTATTCTCTGTATGATTCCCACAGCTGAAAATGTAGAACTTCGGGTTCCCTGGACTATCAACTCACAAATCCTCCGTTCCGATCTCGCTGGCGTTCCATCTGATAAGATGACCCCCTGTGGAGAGCGGCCCCTATTGGCCGCCGAGGACCCATTTCTGGCAGTGCCCGGAATCACACGATCCGGTGTCGAATATTCCATGTCCTCCGGATCACCCTGGATTACGGGTCTTGCTAGAAATATACCCAATAGACTACCTAACTAGTAGGCACGCCGTGGTATGCCGCGGGAAATGACACTTCGTACACTTTCAGTCATCTTTCCCAACGGTGGAGTCTTGAGCAGCAAAATCGGCATATACGTCAGTCTGTGCCAGAGTTTCGGTTCAATCGGCGATAGAAATAGAAATAATTAATTTCTCTGCCTTTTCTCAGCGCGGATATTGACCAATATAATCGGGTCCACCGTTAGTGAACCGGTCCCTCGGTCTCGGCTCCTGTGGCCTCCTGTTTCGCCGGAGTTATTGCGGTCTCCGTGCTTAAAGGCAGCTCTACTCCCGGACTTTATTCCCTCTGGTTTATTTTCTGTTGACTTCTCACATTTTGCGTGCTCTGCCTTGCCCTCTTCTCAATCTCCGCTCTTGTAACACCTGCACCAAGCGTTCCACAATGCCGTCTGCTACAAGCATCGCATCTTTCACGCGACAGTTCCGTGTCTTGGTCGTCGGGGGCTCATACGGTGGCTTGACCGCAGCCCTGACGTTGCTTGACCTATCTCGCGGTCGAGTAGCCCGTTTCAACTCGACACCAGATGCACAGCCGCCGCAGAGACAGCTTCCCATCCAAATAACTGTCGTGGATGAACGTGACGGTTTCTGTAAGACTCACCACTGATCTGGCTCCCCCAAAGTCTCCGCGGCTCACATTGCTAATGCGTATTCCTTATTGTAGATCACTTAATTGGATCTCCTAGAGCCTTGGCATCTGAAAATTATGCATCGAAGACCTGGACAAAGTTCGAGGACATTCCGGCCTTGAGGTCCCCGGATATTCGATTTCTGCGCGGTAGTGTGAACTCCGTTGACTGCCAAAGCAAAGTGGCCCGTATCCTTGACGCCCACACCAAAGAAACACGAAAGGAGAAATACGACTTCCTGATTGCTAGTTCAGGACTGCGACGTGTCTTCCCAACCGTCCCCAAGTCTCTTCGCAGGGATGAGTTTGTGGAAGAAGCCAAGAAGCACGTAGGTGATATCTACAATGCCCAGGATGGAATTGTGGTTATCGGAGGGGGTATGTAGCTTGACCCTCGTCGTGTACTTTGAACATTGTATGACTGACCGAGGACAAACTTAGGCGCTGTTGGTGTTGAAATGGCAACTGAGCTCAGACTTCTTCATCCCAACCGCAATGTCACGTTGATCCACTCTCGTGATCGTGTACTTTCAGCAGAACCTTTGCCGGCTGAATTCCAGGAGCGTGTGGGATCCATTCTGCGTGAAGCAGGCGTGAAGCTCATTTTTGGACAACGAGTCCGCGACATCACAGCTATCGAGACCGAGGGAGAGCGACGTCTCTGGAAACTTGAGCTGGCTGATGGAAGGACCATCTATGCAGGCCATGTCATGAACGCCGTTTCCAAATCTGTTCCCACAACGTCGTACCTACCAGAAGAGGCCCTAACTGAGGAAGGCTACGTCAAGATCCGCCCATCGTAGGTCCCCCGGAGAAGGACCACTGAAACAAAGCTAACCTTAGGTAGCACGCAATTCCCCAAGAACCTGCAGAACGCCGATTCCCATTTTGCCGTCGGTGATATGGTTTCCTGGTCAGGAATCAAACGTTGCGGGGCTGCAATGCATATGGGCTATCACGCAGCAGTCAATGCTCATCAGCTCATGCTGTCGGAGGATTCGAACTACAAGCCCGAGTTTATTAACCTCCAGGAGGTACCTCCCGTCATGGCGCTCTCCATGGGCAAGACAGCAGTCACATATACCCCGGATTCGGGAACGAAGGATGGAGAAGATGTCCATGATGTTATGTTCGGCGAGGATATGGGTTATAGCAGTGAGTGATTCTGGTTCCTCATCTATAATCATTGTCTAACATGATGCAGTTTGCTGGAACTACATGAGAATGTCTGAACCTTGTCAGGCATAATGTACCCACACATGACGCTTCACTTCAATCCGACAGATCGGGTATCTGTCGCCTTTTTGCGATTGAGAGTCTATTCAGACTTTTCGTCACTATCTCATACTGTTAGGCATACACAGTTTGCTGGCTAACTGGCACTGCCTAGTCGGCGGTTATTGTGAGACCGGGCTCTGGCGTTTGGACTTTGGCTCTTTGGATATTCATGAATTGTCTGACATGACTCGTACTATAATTCGACCTGGGTATCCTTGTTTAAAATGTAACTGTATATGAAACATCACGAAAGCTGTTGTATGTGTGGTGCGATGAAGATAAGTAAGGCTGTTGCAGACACAAGAGATGTAAGACAGTCAGAAGGCCACAACGGGAAGGAGGGGGTCAGCTGATTTGCAGGTCCAGCCGGAAGACATGACCTTTTTATAGTCGTAGAACTTGATGACACCTAGTCATCCTCTAACTAGCGTCAAAGCCAACGAGCACAAAAGTACAAGTCATACAAATCAAGGAAATACCATTGAAGACGGTACCATTGTTGGTATCGCTTTCGATTATTACTCATACCCTTAGTCCACTTCACAATTTGAAGCCAGTCAAATGAGAACTAAGGAACGGAAGACTCATTATTATATATTTTATGGTACCCGCCACGTGAATAGAATCTAACGTCCTACAAGACCAGGTTTCAGGCTTAAGCTTGAGCCTCTGCCAACGCCTGCTTCCTGGATTTGGACTGGAGGTCCAAGTACGGCGCTTCACCCAGACTGCAGACCCGGTCACCAGCCCGGGCTTCAGCGTAGTCATAAGTGGCGCAATGCCAGGTGGATCTGTTATCCCAGATGGCCATGTCATTCTTGTTCCACCTGAAGCGAACCTGCGCGTCGTGGTTTTGTGTGACGAGCTGTCGAACGTCAGTATACCAAATGCTGGCAAATAGGTTGTTTCTGACTCACATTGAAGAGATACTGCAGCAGCATATCGGACTCGTCCTTGGTTACCCCATTGATCCGCTTAGTGAATCCCTTGTTCACATACACGGACTTCCAACCGGTAACAGCTATAACCACATTAGCACTCTCATCCATTTTGGAGATGATGGTTGATACGCACGGTTAGTCCGAACGACAGGATGAACTGCTTTAAGATCTTCCCCCTGATTAAGTGGCGATCCTCGGATTCCCTTGCGTAGGGGATTTCCCAGCCTGCGTGCTTCGTCATGGAAGAAGCTAGCATCGTGTGTGGCTGTCAGACCCTCTAGGAAGGCAGCCATCTCAGGAGACAGGCGGTCGTATATCTCGTATCCCGAAGCCCAGAGAGTGTCTCCTCCGGTTTCGGGCAGAGTGTGGATCTTGAGCATAGCGTAGTCCGAAGGTACACGCTCGAAACTGATATCGGTATGCCATCCTACAGAGGCGAAGCGACTCGTATCGCTGAGCTGGTGGGTAAGACCGCCTCCTTTCTTCTGCTTTTCGCTGCTGATAACACTGATTTGATCACCGAGTTCGCTGCCTTCTTCCGTCAAGGGGTGAACATGGAGGCCAGATGATTCGGGCTGTAGAGGGATATATAAGCTGTCTATTCCACTGACCATACCAGATATCGTCAGAATTACTTACGCAGCCAGCCAAAACAGTCAGCCTTTCGCCAAATTCTCTCATTTGCTGGGGTGTGACATCCTGGTCACGAAGGAAAACAACGCCTCTTTTCGAAACTGCCGATTGTCAGTATGTCATATTCCGCGGAATTTCAGGAAGCGCAAAGCATACTTGTCACTGCGAGGTCTTTGATAATCTGGTCGGAGTTTTCCGCCTTGAGTATATCGGCCACCTGAAGTCCTTTGTATTCTCTACCGATGACTGGAGTCAAATCTTGCTGGGTATATGAGTCCAACAATCCGGAGTATTGTAGGGGCTCTGAAAGCCGTGGACGGGACTCCTCGTGTCCTCCGCGGATTGTCGAGGCTGAGGCACTCTCGACGGCTGACGGCATGGTGATTTCTTGATTGACAGTGATCAATATGTTTGTCGCAAATGAAAGCGCTATCTTATGAAATTTAGGAGCAATTATTTCCGCGGCCTCCGACGGATTCACGGGTGACTATATACTAGCAGGTATACAGACTACACGAGGTCTCTGCGAGAATTACGACTGCTGCCGACGAATAATCTCCACTTTCGATAAGTGACGAGTATCGGGAACGCGAGAGAAGAGAATCATGGTAAGTCGATCGTTCCACCTCTACCCGACTGGCACACGAGTGAAATGATGCTATCTACTGCTTTTGTCATTTGTTCGCATGTTCCAAACTGTTCTGCGACAACCCGACCCTGATTCCTAGCCGTCTGGTGACATGAATCATTTCCCCGCATCCAGCACGGTGAAAGGGTCTCGTCTTATCCCTGAGCGCCAGTCACAAGTCAACGGTGCTGTTATCGGCGGGGCATCGGCGAAATTTTCGGAGGAGGCTTGCATCCTGCCAGCTTGTGTCGCTTTAGTGCCGGCCGCTAAAATCGCCCTTCGACGAATGAACAGTGCTCTCATGAACGGGCTTGCCAGCTGCCCGTCCAGCTTCCCTGCGCATAGGCAAGACTGCTCTATGGTAACAACCATCAAAGTGTCAAATCTGGGGAAATACATAGGTTATCCGTAAGTGGAATAGTCCATCCCATCTCCCGAGCTTGTAGCAAAAAGAGCAGCATCCGGGGAAGCGCATCGAGGATCTTCAGCAACTGTCTGCAATAACAAGATGGGTATGAAAACTTCAACCGGACCCATCTTATTCGAGGCGATTCTCCGAAGCAACTAAAGGGTCATTGGCTATGAACTTCAGGGTGCCGCTGGGGATATGGCCAGGTTGCGCATACCAGGGCGCCCTAGGCGATGATGTGCTCGGTGATCCGTCTTGTGCAATCCGGTTAGTCTCTTTCTGGCTCAAAGGCATCGATTCAGTCGTAAAATCACCCCCGATATGGTTGGTTGGAAGAATAACCACACTGTCTTCCGCCATCGCGAATTGTATTGGCACTGCAGCCATCTCCGTAGTATGTATACTCCATACAACAAATCATGCCTTTCAAGGCATACACCATGAAATAAGTATATAAGTAGTTCATGGCATTTTCTCCCACGTTTCGCCTCTAGCCCTACCTGTGTCATTCCTCTGCTCTTCTCCACATCCCCATCATCCACATCCAGTGGTAAACAGTAACCATGCCCGACGACATCGAGCAGGGCTACAACAAGGGCACTATCAAAGCCCACGATGTACTCGAAGATTTCCAATCATCCAAAGCCTCAATCGAAGTAGGACAGGAGCATCTCGCAGGCGTCACTCCACCCCACGAATCCTTCGAAGGATACCACCGCTTCGATCCAACAGCAACATGGACACCCCAAGAAGAGAGGAAACTCGTCTTCAAAACAGACTTGATGCTTCTAAGCTGGATATGCTTCATGGTATACCCCCATCCAAAATCCCAATATGACTTCAATTGGACCAAAGCTAATGCTAGAAAAATTAATCAGTTCTTCGGCCTCCAACTCGACCGCGGCAACCTCTCCAACGCACTCACAGACCACTTCCTAGCAGACCTAAACATGACCACAGACGACTACAACAACGTATATAACCCCATTCCCATCCCCATACCTTCCCACCATCCCACCTACTGACCACCCTTCTCCCAAATACAGGGCTCAACAATCCAACTCGTCTGCTTCCTCGCCGCAGAATTCCCCGTCCAGCTTCTGATCAAAAGATTCGGCTTCAAGCGCGTCCTGCCCGTCATGATGCTCGCTTGGAGTTTGGTTTCCTGGACGCAGGCGTGGATGACCAGCCGGGCGTCGTTCTACGTGACGAGAGCGCTTATTGGTGCCTTCGAGGGAGGGTTTATCCCTGGTACGATTCTCTTCGCGACTTATTTCTATAAGACGAAGGAGTTGTCGGTGAGATTGGCGTTCTTTTGGTCGACGTTGAATGTAAGTCTGCCTCTTTACTACGTAATGGTGATGGGGAAGAGAGCGAGAGAGAGAAGGAGAGAGAGAGAGAGAGAGGTGGAATTGGGGCTAATATACGGTGCGTGATGTAGGTTGCTCGCATCGTTTCTTCCCTGCTGGCTGCTGGTATTCTGCAGATGCGCGGCGTCGAGGGAAAGTCGGGCTGGTTCTGGCTTTTCTTGATCGATGGGTTGCTTACGTTTGTTATTGGGTTGGTTGTATGTGATTCTCTATCTCGAGGTATACAGAGAGGATCTATTTGCTAACAGCCAAACAGAGTCTCTTCTACCTTCCCAGTTCCCCAACGAATACCAAGAGTGTTCTGTTCCCCCGGCCGTGGTATTCTGAGCGCGAAGAGGTAATCATGATTAACGTAAGTGCTCATGAACCATGACATTTCCAATTTAAAGGACCTGGCTAACTCCAACAGCGCCTCCTCCGCGACGACCCCTCCAAAGGCCTAACGCACATCAACGAGCGCGCCACACTACACGACATCTTCGAAGCATGGAAAGACCCCTCAATGTGGGGACTCTACTTCATCGGACTAGTAGCCTATATTCCTCAAAGTCCCGTGCAGTCCTACCTCTCGCTCACCCTGACTCGTCTTGGCTTTGACACCTTCGACGCAAACATGCTGTCGATCCCGTCCGCCGCGTTACAAATCATTCTCATGCTTGCCGTTTCCAAAAGCAGTGATATCTTTGGCGAGCGGACGTTCCATTGCTTCTTCGGCGAGTTTTGGTCCCTGCCGCTGCTGGCAGCTTTGGTTGCGCTGCCGAATTATGGGTATAACTGGGCGCGGTTTGCCGTTTCGACGATGATTTCCGGGTATCCGTATTTTCATCCGATTGTGTCCGCCTGGATTTCCGAGAATACGTTCGATGTGAAGAAGAGAGCGATTACGGCGGCGACGTATAATGTGATTGTGCAGATTGGGTCCATCATTTCTTCGCGTGAGTGTTTTGGCCCGGTGGAGATATTGACAAGCTGACTGATTGTTGAACAGAGATCTATCGGACGAGTGATTCGCCGTATTATTACACTGGTAATAAGGTGCTAATTGCTCTGTGCGTGCTCTCGTTGGCGGTGTTTGTCGCCCAACGTGAATTCTTGCGGCATCTGAACAGACAAAAGGAGAGGAAATGGCAAGCCATGTCTCCCGAGGAGCGGGTTTTATACCAATCTGACAAGGAAGAACGAGAAAAGGAAGGAAATAAGCGACTAGACTTCCGCTTCAAGTACTGATGAGACGAATGTATTATAATCAGACTTGTTGGTAATGATAATTTGGACTTGATAATTGGTTTCTTGGACATAATATGACTGAATTCGCTTTAAACGGCAAATGGGTATATTCAGAGAATGGTGCTCATGAAATAATTGGGAACATCTTTGTTAAGAAAGCAGAAATCCTTCGCCGGACAAGACTGCATCTGGAAAGTCATTGCTCGAAAAGTTGAGTTCAGGTGTGAACTGACCCTCCGGAATTTGCGAGATAAAGTCGTTTATCAGCATTTCAACGGAGCCAGAGGGTAAAGCAGGCGACAGTGAGGCGAAACTCATGGGTGTACTTCTCGCACCCTCCAGAGGTAGCGAGTATGGTAGCAAGTTGCCAAAAGAGGGGTCATAGACGCTTTGAGAAGACTCAAGTTGCGTAGGAAATGCTGACTCCGCAAATTCGGGGAATAGCATTTCTTCCAGTGGCTGAAGACCGTTGTACCCACTCTGCGCATGGTGCTCGAGACTAAGACTATCTTGTATATGCCCTTGGCCCACAGACTGCATTGTAGGGAGCTGAGCCTCGGTGGCAGTAGACCAATTATCGAGCGGGCTGATGTCGTCAGCTATGGGACCTGCAGCTTCCATTGCAGTAGTAGCCCGTTTATGTGTTAGGTCCTCTCCACTTGACGCAGAAGTTGTGGTAGCTGCAGGTAGCATTTTACTTTTAAGTGGTGGTTGTGGTTCTCTTATTGGAGGTGATAAAGCAGGACCGCTTCTAGCCTGAGCATCTGCCATCTTTCTATACAGTAACTCAGCTAGCTCCTTGTTTCCCCCACCTCTGAAAGTGGAGAGAATGGAGTGTAAGCGGGCTAGAATACTGCTGGGGCGGCTTTCGTTGTCCCAAGAAGGCGCCCGTGGCAACATTGCGAGGTCTATTACGGCATCGGCGAGTGAGCTGGCAATTTCATAGAGTTTCAACTCCTGAAGATCTAGTCAGTGGCCATTCCTCTGGGGCTGCTGAAAGTAACATACCATACCGAGCCCATGGGCTTCGATGGCCGCTCGTGGTAGTTGCGATACTATGTTCAATAGCTCCTTTGCGACCAAGATTGGAAAGGATGGAGAAGTGGGCCAATACGTAGAAGATCCATGAGCGCTTTTCTTGGACGAGAATTTCCACAAGATCATGCGCATCCAATGCCTGGTAACGCAAAGGTCTGCCTTCTGTACGTCTGAAATGTGGTCCAACAAAGCTGATCCGTCCTGCAGATTATCTTGCAGTAGCCTAAGAAAACGGCTGTCTAGGTTAGGAACTTCGCTGGACAGTGGCTCAAAGCCTCCCTGATCATCCTCGATGATGTCAAACATTTTTGACTGTTCAAACAGTCGGAACAGATTGAGCAGTTTCAGGAAGGCCGGCAGAACCTGGGGCTCATCATTCGCATCAAGCTCTGGGGTTGAGATATCTGTTCTCAAGACTACGGGGAGTTTGTGGAGTATGCAGACGCCGCTATGAGAACGTTAGGGACAATTCAACACAGAGTAAGAGTGGCAACTTACCGTTCAGTGACAAACAACAGCCATAGCACACGGCGACGCATTTGCTGCTCTTCCAGGGGAAGGCCAGCGTACGAGACTTCTCGATGCAGGCACATCATCTGGGCGAGTGTGATAGCCTCCCTCAAGTACAACAGTGATTCGCTAGCGCCCGATTGGTGGTTTTCGAAGTATACATGAAGGAAGAAGGCGGTCCGGACATTATTTAAATTGAGCCTTGATCGGTAATCGCAGGATCTGCGGGCCTTCATGCACTCCGCTGCAAATGTTTCCGCAGTCATCGACTTGTCAGGGAGAGAACTTTGCCCTAGCCTTAACTGAGCGATTGTTGCCGCTGCCACAGCAGTTGCTAATGCATATGTCTCGTGGTCATTCTCCTCAACATCCTGTTGCAAACTGGACATGACACTTTCGACATCGACGATCGGCCAGACTGGATACATTCGCACGTGGTATATATAAAGCGGGGATGCGAGGACATTGGTGGGTATGCGAGATCTGTGTCGCTCGAAGTGTTAGACGGTAACAAGCACAATAAAGTGGCTTTCTGGCTGCACGACGCGAGCATGATCATTAACACACCTTTCCGATTTTGCACCGCATTCTCGCTGCACCGGTGTCGAGGTATGGTCGGTCTCCAAAATCTCCCCGCTCTGAGGGATCGAGGGTAGAGCATCATGTACCTCGATACCGCGTTGGGCTTGGTCTATTAGGTACTTGGTAGTTGCGCGCAGCTTCTGAGGACCACGAGGTTGCTGGACCCGGATGTAGGTACACTTGATGCGTGCATTGAAGCAGGACCGGCATGGCTGACCACCACCACAGCGAATCTTTCGAATCTTACAGCCGTCGCATGCTTTCTTCGTTATACTTGCTCTGGAAGACATCTTTGTGGTTGTCAAGTCGCAGGCGTAGCGCAGATTGCTTCGATTGAATGCATGACAAAGGAAACAGGACGGAGTTGCGAGAAAAGTTGACCGGCAATGGGCTGTCAGTTGAGCCGAAAATCAGCCAGTAGCGTAACGCTGCATATCCCAAATGATGCGAGGAGACGGTTAACCCGAGGTCATTGCGGGGCAAAGCCTACGCATTCGCTGAGTGGTGCAGCTTGAAGCGACGCCTGGTGCAAACGTGGCGTATCCGAGTCGTTCGACGGAGCAGTTCTGGGTGACTCCGCTGCGAAGGTGCTGTATTGCTTGACTTGTGAATTTTGTCGAAAAGGTGTTGCAATGATACGATGAGGATGTCTAATGATAGCGGGTGATTGCGCCTTCAACTCCACGCGGCACGCCATTATCGAGACCCACCTCGTGTGCCTGGACTGTCCACAACAGACATCAGGGGATGTTCGTCCTGAAAAGCATTGCCTTCTTAAATGAGAGTCACATAGCTGAATGTATACAGACTAAGCATGAGAGAAGCGGTGAAATCAATTGCAGGACGGTCACAGTAGTTGAAGTGGTTTTCAGGAGATCGCATCTTCTTCATTGGCGTCAAATATACCACATGAACATTTTCGGTATTCCCTCAGGTAATTGTGAAGCAATTGGTGGTATTAAAAGTCACTCTTGGACCATAAATGTAAAAGAACGTAGAAAGGATGGTAGAATTGCAAGAGATCAAGAAAATCTTCAGCAACGGTGGATGGATGTACTCGTAGGAACTCGGTCGCCGCTGGCTGGACTATAAACGGCTGTCTACCTGCTGTCACCTGACAAGCATACTATCTCGAATGGGATACTAATCACAAATTGCACTCATTTACTCCAATTATTACTGCTAAGGCCTCTCCTCCACATTCATAGCTATTGCTATCTTCACATTGCGATACTTCATTAGCAGTACATCGATAACGGAGATAGACCCTGAGCAGCCTTTCTCAGAACTGGCTAAGACCACTAGTGCCTAAGCTAAAACATCCAGGCTAAAGCAGAGCCAGACCCTCCGAGTATTCCTCCGACGCCTTTGCTGGCCTCCGCATTTGCCCCTCCTTATCTTGATGCTCATATGATTGGTCTACACAAGCACGAGGACCCGAAGACTCTGTCAAGAACAGCTCTCATTCGATTCCAGTACAATGACCGCATCTGCCCGACCAATCGCGGCCAGATCGCGATGGCAGCTCCCCGGGCGCAACGCAATGACTGTCGCAACCAAATAAATTGGTTCACGACCCCTCACAGATCGCAATGAATACGCTCTGACTTTTCATTCTATTCCCTGTTTACGTTTCACTGGCTCTCAAGGAGATACTCTACATATAATCATGGCGTGGCCAAACAAGAACAAGGACATGCTCTACCGGCGAGTGGGCAATTCTGGTCTCCACGTCTCTGCACTTGGACTGGGAGGCTGGTTAACGTGAGTATCTGTTCATCTCCAGAGAAGAGTTGTACACGGCTAATTCTTAACTATAGTTTTGGCGGTCATGTCGACAACGGTAAAAATCACTAAGTTTGCCTTAAGGCGCACCACAAGCTAACTCATTGGCCTAGAAATTACATTTAACTGCATGAAGCAAGCTTACGACTTGGGAATCAACTTCTTCGACACAGCTGAGAGCTATGCGGGCGGACAATCAGAAATTGTCATGGGTCAGGCCATCAAGAAATTTGGCTGGAAGCGCAGCGATCTTGTCATTAGCACCAAGGTACGTGTCATTCTATGCGGCCATAGGAGATGCAAGTTAATCAGTCAACAGCTCAATTGGGGTCTGGCGAATGGCGAGATTCTAATCAATAACCACGGTCTATCCCGCAAACACATCATCGAAGGCACACGAGCATCTCTTGAGCGGCTACAGCTCGAATATGTCGACATCATATACGCCCACCGCCCCGACCGTCTAACACCCATGGAAGAGACAGTGAGAGCCTTCAACCATGTCATTGAGAAGGGATGGGCATTCTACTGGGGTACATCGGAATGGTCCGCGGACGAGATCAGCGAGGCTTGTGGTATTGCCAGAGCTTTGGGACTGATTGCGCCCATTGTCGAACAACCTCTGTACAACATGTTGGATCGGCAGAAGGTGGAAGGCCAGTACCAGCGACTGTACTCCCGCTGCGGCATTGGTTTGACCACCTTCTCACCATTGAAGATGGGTCTCCTCAGTGGCAAGTACAACGATGCGACGACGCAGCCTCCACCAGGATCTCGCTTCGCAGAGAGCAACGACAAGTTCGCAAGCAGCGTGCGCAGAGACTGGGAGAACGAGCAATGGGCTGGGAATATCAAGAAGATCGTTGGATTGAAGGTATGCTACATCACTCGATCAATTAAGGCATATCGCTGACAAACTTCTAGGAGGTTGCAGACAAAATGGGCGTCAAACTGTCGCAATTGGCTCTGGCATGGTGTCTCAAGAACGAGAATGTCTCCGCTGTAATCACCGGCGCCTCTCGGCCAGAGCAGGTTGTTGACAACGTAGAGAGTCTAAAGTTACTCCCACGCCTGACACCGGAGATCATGGCCGAGATTGATGAGTATTTGCAGAACAAGCCAGACCAGGACCCAGCCAGACAGGATTAGCCAACTATTAATAATGTAGACATGACACGAGCCGGAATAAAAGCAAAAATGGAAATCCCACTTCAACCAACTCCTTACATAGAGCCATAAGCACGTGTCCGCCCCCCGTCTCACCTATTACATCACCCCCGCATTTCCTCCCTCCACTTCCCCTCTCACCCATACTCTTCACACCATCTATCCCCTTACCACTATTTATTCAACAATACACACCAAAAATGACCACCCTTAATGAATCCACACCCCCCACCAACCACCCCCAACTCACCACCCACACCACACCTTTCTAACCACCATAAACAAGAAAAGAACCCCCCCCTCCTCACCCTCCCCCCAGAACTCCACCTCCAAATAACCTCCCACCTCCCCCTCCTCCCAGACATCTACTCCCTCCAAGCAACCTGCACCTACTTCTACACTCTCCTCCCACAACCCAGCCACTCGGCTCTCCTCACAGCCGAAACCACCGACTACGCCATCGCCCACGACCTCTACACCTGCCGATACTGTCTGCGACTACGTCCGGGATCTGTCTTCGCGGACCGGATGCTCCGGCGCGGAAGAGGTCGGTACGGACGGGACAGGGCGAAGAGGTTCTGTATTGATTGTGGAGTTCTGCCGAGGGGGGAGGGCGAGGGCGAGGAGGCGAGGTATGGAGCTGGGGCGTTGGTGAGGGTGGAGGGCGAGCTGAGGGTGTTTTGTGGTGGTTGTGGCGGGTTGAGGAGGGTGGGGATGGTGTTGGGGGTTGCGGGTGGTGTTGGTGGTGGGGGGAAGAGGGAGAGGGTTGTTTGTGAGGGGTGTTGGGGGGTGGCAGGGTGGATTTGATAGATTCCATGTGATGGTGTTGTGATACCCATTTGATGTTTATTTATTGCTTTCGTGCTGGGGTGGGATGAGCTTGAGGAGGGAAAGGGAAGAGGGAGGTAAGTGTGGGATATGCTTTAGTTAAGAACATGATTGAACAGGGATACCAACACAGACTGACAGCACACAAGGTTTCAGTTATAGGAAACCATTCAATGAGCCGGCGATCTCAATGTCCCCCTCCTCTTCGTTGTCTTCGTCATCACTCCGTGCATCAAAGTCGAAGTAAAAGTCCGCGTGCTCGTCAGAGATGTCACACTCGGTCAAGATCATGGTGCTGGACTGGTCCATGCAGGTCCATGATCTACCAATGCCCTTTGCTATGGCTTGTTGGTCTTGCGGGTTCACCTCCGCCAAGTACCGAAGGCCGTAGGAGACTTTGTATCCGTCGTGATCACTTTTAGAAGACTCAGCAGGGCTGGAGCTGGAGGGGGATATGGTATCTTCTTCGGGGGTAAATCGCTCGACAACCATCCCATGTTTATAATGTGTCACGTATACATCGTGAACAGCCCCGGTGGTGGGTGCCTTCAACCCCTTGATAAGGTACTTTTCCAGCACTTCGGTGTCACTAGTCCTGCACGTGTCCAATGCCGATATACTCCGAGCTTTAGCATAGCGAATACCACTCTTCTTCAATGCACCGATCATCAAATCCCGAATCGTCACCTCACGACACTCTTTCACAGAGGTAGATGCAGATGTAGCCGAACAACCAACATAATCTTCCGCTGCTGCAAACAGAACAGCAAGAATACACGCCATCATAACCGCCAACCCGTAGCAGCTTCCAATTTGTAGAACATTGCAGATGCATTCAGTCAACACAGCCATAGCCATGATGTAGGTGAGTCTGCAGACACATCAGTCAACCATTCACTATGAGGTGCTCGAAATCCCACTTATTATGACTGCGTCCCATTGCACAAACAACCCTACCCCATGTCTTGGAGAATTGATCTTCTGCACACTCATCACGCACCAGCAAATCATCATACTGCCTCAACGTCCGAGCGAACTCATATTCATGTCCCCATGCATGAACCGTGACCTCCCCATTCAGAACTTCACCGTCAGTAGTGATCGAGTACATCTGGGCTGCTTCGTATGCTGCAAGCAACAGGAGTATAAGTTTGATCATCCTGGCGGTTGTATTGTCATCCACACTATCTTCAAAGGATTGTGATGTGCTTAGGGGACGAATAATGTCAGTATTTCTGAAGCTCGTCAGGTGATAATCAAAATAAGACATACCTGTCCCAGAACCCAGAACACAAAGCGCACACAACAGAACAAATACTGCTCAAAAACCCAACAATCCCATTCAAACACTCAAAAATCATAACAGCTGTATCCAACTGCTGATTGAGAATGCTACGCGCAGTTTCGCGCGGCACACGAGCATCATGTTTTGATAGCAGGGCTGTGACTTGCGGAGTGAATTCTGTGAAAGGTTGTGCGCCGCTATTACTACTGATGAGTTTATTCACGATCGGGGGGCTTGAGCGGTGGTCACGAGGGTATGATCCTGGGATTTTGATGATTATGGAGTCCATGGTTAGGGATTGGATTGGGTGTTGAGGTGAAGGAGGTTGGGCTGTGCATCATGGAGGGGGGATACTATTTGTGTTGGATGTGTTTGGTTGTTGGTTTGGTTTGGTTTAGTTTGGGTTGATTTGGGTTGCTATGTAGATTGTAGGGGTGGTAGTGAATGGTAGGGTGGTGTGGTGTGGTTGCGTATAGTTCTCAGTATGGAGTAGGGCTTTGGTATTGGGGATAGAGATACATGTTGATAGTACATGGTGATGAGATGGGTGGTACACATATTATACTAGAGAGGGTTCTTTGCAAGGACTCATAGATATTGTAATTGAGAGGCTCTTCTCTTAAACCAAGTAAGATTTGGATTAAAGAATGCTAGTTACAGCCCAGAGCAGAAACAGCTAAGAATTAGCATGCAGTAATTGCAAGATCAACATTGTCAATAAGCTCTCATGTCATACACTAAACCATGACACAATCTTCAACACCTACAGGAAGACCATAGCTAAGATATACAAACAACCAATATCAATACACCATCTATCCAAATGATAGCCCTGAGAGAACCAGAAGAATGCCGTCCACATCAGATGACTAACCCAGGGGCAGGAATCCAGATCCAAGCAACCTTAAGTGCAGATATACCAATCAGACCGGATGAACCACACTTAGCTCTAATGACGCCATATCGTAAACAAATCACCAATATAAACTTTTAGTAGATATCACCATAGTAGTTAATAAAATCTATATACTTCATTCTTGGAACTTAACAGTATCTACAAAAATCTCCCTTGCTGACCCCACAGCAAACCCGGCATTTCCCTGCAAAAAGCAAGCCACTCGGAGGTGTGCTGACAGGCCAATCAATCCTTCCCAGAAATAGTTCATTTATCAGCAAAGCAAAAAGCAATACACTATAAAACACAGTAAGCATCAAGCATATCCCGGTTTTACAAATATAACCTCACACTGAATCAGAGTAGTAGTAATACTTTCCATCACATTCCATCAGAATGTATGATCGTCCACCGCCATTCCGCTGATTTGTCATCTCAGCTTCAAGTTTAGGAATCAACCCCTCTCTCTCCACTCCGCCTTGATCCGATCTATATTCTCCTAAACATATTTATAACCCAAGGACTGTCCACAGCTTGCTTGATTGCTTGCTTCATCCTACCAAACCAGAACAAACTTCCTCAATCTCCAAACAATACTATACACCAACATCACAACCGCCAAAATGTCCTTCGGAACTATCTACACCTACCCCAACAACCCCCGGGTCATGAAGGTTAGTACTCCCCCTCCCCCCCTCTACCCCCCTCACTCATCACCTACTAACCACCAACATAACTGAACTAGACCCAAGCAGCCGCCAACTTCAACAACCTAACCCTCACCCTGGCGGATTTCAAGATGGGCGAAACCAACCGCGACCCGACCTTCCTCAGCAAATTCCCCATGGGTAAGGTGCCCGCTTTCGAAGGCGCGGACGGCACCCTCCTGGCCGAATCCGACGCCATCACGCAGTTCGTGGCCGAGAGCGGTCCCGCAGCGGGCCAATTGGTCGGCAGCACGCCCGCCGAACGGGCGCTGATCCGTCAGTGGATCTGCTTCGCGGACGGAGAGGTGCTGAGCGGAGTGACTTCGTTGGCGCTGTGGCGGATCGGGTACAAGGCGTACGATGAGGCGACGGAGAAGAGTGGGCTGGAGAAGTTGACCCGGGCGTTGGGAGCTTTGGAGAATCGGTTGAAGGGGAGGACTTGGGTGGCTACGGAGAAGTTGAGCTTGGCGGATATTAGTCTGGCCGCGGCGTTGTATTGGGGATTCTCGGTGAGTATTGATGCCGAGATGAGGAAGGATTATCCCGTTGTGGTGGCTTGGTATGAGCGGGTTCTTGAGAGTGAGCATGTTAAGGAGGCGTTTGGACCTAAGGTCTTCGTGGAGAAGAGGAAGGAGCCTGAGAACTAAGTCAGAGAGATGCATGGATTGGGGCCGGTCCGCGATCATGATTTATGACTTGACTTATTAGGAAAAGCAATACAAATTGACTGTGATCAATTGAAGTAATAATGTATTGGTTCTCTGCTAGCGATATATACCATTATGGGTCCAGCCACAACCAGCAGCCCTGCTATGAATGTGTCTGGTATGAATGTATGGACAAGGGACAGGTAGGGCTTGCTGCACGAGCAGTATGATTCATTTACAGACGAGCATGGAAGTTCTGATCGCCTCTCCGCATCGATCGGGCCAGGTTACGACTAGCCCGGTCGGCAATGGCCATGTTGGTGAGCATGGGGTTGACGCCACTCGCGCTGGGGAAGACGGACGCATCCACCACATACAGACCCCGGGTGCCCCAGACTTGACAGTCCGAGTCCACCACACTGGTCCTTGGTGATTTGCCCATTCGACACGTCCCCATCTGATGCGCACTGGCAAACATGGTTCGCTCCGGATCAAGGGGTTTCTTGCGACGCACTTCCGCGATCCAAGCCTGAAGTGCTGCATTATTGGCACCTTCCGTATCCTCGGCATCGGATTCCACCGGGCGGATGAACGGGGGCACTTCGCGCCATGAAGTGTGGAATTCCTTTGCGCCCGAAACATATGCCATCTTGGCACTGGCGATTATACCTTCGACAATGTGCTTACGATCCGTGGGTGAAACAGCATAGTCAATGCGAATTCGTCCATCACCCGGGTCTGGATAAACCCGCCCAGTGCCTCGATCGCGCGCAAGCATAATAAGACCGGCCATGCGAGGCAATTTTTGCACCCAGAGCTTATAGTCAAGACCATTGCGCCAGGGGAATAGAGGGAGAAAAGCCGCGGGCACCATTGACAAGGCCTCGATCTTAACTCCATGACCTTGGTTATCTAGGTTCTCGAGCTCATTGACGACGGTGGTCAGCGCAGCGCCTTCCCAAGGGCGGAACTCCTCATCTAGCACTGCACCCGCAATGGCAACTGTGGATAACGTTAGCAATGACATTCCCTTCCCGCAGAGAGCATCTTACCAGGATGAAGGTGGAGATTCCGGCCAATCTGGGGATTCTTCAGTCCACTGCGTAGAAGCAGCAATGGGCTTTGCAGGGTGCCGCAAGAGACGACAACCCGTTTCGCCTTGATGATGACATTTCGCGTAACTGCAGTTGCACCTGAACGACCTAGGTACGCATCCCTAGATGTCCACACTCCCTCGACCCCTGACGCTACCTGGCCATCTTTAGTGTCAGTGAACAGGATTTTGTTTGCACGAAAGCCTTCAATAAAGGTTGCGCCGGCTGTCGCGGCATCTGCGAGAAAAGTTTCCGTGGGGCCCTTCTTCCCTGTGGAATGGCAGCCGAGCGTACAGTAGCCACAATAATGCTCAGTGTGGCCCGTATTCTGTGGCACGGTCTTCGCAGCATAGCCCAATCTTCGAGCTCCTTCGAGAATGAAGCGATTTGTCTTGTTGTGCTTAATATGCTCAACGTCGACCCCCATCCGTTCCGAAACACGGTCCAGACAGTTCTGGAACTCCATCGAGGTAAAGAAAGGCAGGCCGTTCTTCGCCCATTCCTCGCGTACAAATCCCTGTGTCTGCAGGGCAGCGGACCAATTGACCGTGCCACCGCCACCCCAGGTTGAACCGGCCAGAACAGCCATCGAGCCATCATCGGTCACGACGGCACCCCCTGACTCGAACATGCTATTAAAGGCCTCGTTGAAGTTCATGGGGAAATGGTTGGACGTGTAGTGATAGGATTTGTCCAACACTAGTACTTTGTGGCCTGCTTCGGCCAAGTTCTTCGCAGCCACGCTACCACCACAACCACTGCCAACGATGACCACGTCGGTCTCGATGGTCTCCGGCTCATCTGCGGCGGGGAATTGGAGGAAGGTGTGCTTGAAACCATCGGCAGGCTTGCCGTGCACTGGCACTCTGGGGAAGCCAAGTACAGGAGCAAGAGTGGGGCTGAACTTGACCCAAGTTTGCTTGAACATGCCCGTGCAAGCCCTGTAGACACCGCGCAGCGGACTCAGCCGAGAAGTCTCCCATCCGCGGAAGATCTCTTCCCGAACGTGTAACGGTTGTTCGTGGATCGGAGTTACAGATCCTGTCAGGAGAAGCGATCCCGCCCGGGTACTATTCTCATGTCAGCTTTGACTGGTACGGCCACGTCTGAGAATGGATACGCACTTGAGAGCATTGAGGATAAACCCTAGGCCATTTCTCCCTTCATCGTGCACATACTGCGCGAATAGGCGCTGCAAGCCTTCTCGAAACAGAGGGTTTGACGACGCGTCTTCCTCTAGGTACTGTGCTGCAATGGTGCCAGCGTCCGGAGAGTGAATGGATTTAGTCAATGTCGCCAGAGACTTGTTCAGCTCGGAGTGCGGGATGACCTTGGTCGAGGCTGATTTATATGCAGTCGGACTCCGGATCGAAGGAATGACCGTGTCAGCCAACGATAGAAGAGTGGTCCATTGTTCCTCTGTGAAGATCTTAGTGGTTGGGACTGGAGGCAGAGGCACGTCCAGAGGAACGTAGTGAGAGGCTGGTTCCGCCATGGTGTGCGTGTCCACCTGGTAGGATACTAGTGATATATGTATAGAAGGTACTCGGTAGTATGTATAAGATGAACGGATGAATTAAGAATGACCAGAAACCATGTTCAAGAGGAACCGGAGTGGAGCAGAGAGATGATGGTCCACGGCGGCTGCTAATGAATTCGGCGCCTTCAAATAGCGGGAGAAAGACGAGGCGTGTGAGCTGAGCAGCCAACCACCCCAGCGTCGATTACAATCCCAGAGAAGTAATGCTTGCGAGAGTGAGGGGAGGCCAAGTGACTAAAATCTAGTGGTGCTGCCACTCGGGAAAGGGCGATCGATGAGGGCTAAATGCTAAATGCGCCAGGCACGCCAGAAACGTTCTCCCAACTCGGTGAGAACACGGGGGGTGTGGTTCCCCATATTTTTTTTGGGTGATTTTGGCGATGTGACGATCAGCGCACGGCACCCGAGGCACATCAAAAAAAAAGGGAGACCTGAACTGGAGAGCAGTGGGGCCATCCGAAAGTCTATATGAGTAGAATACTAGAATCAGGAGCCATCAGAAGAATGTTGAAGCTGCTAAGTCCTTGCTGGTTGGTTGGTTGTTCGGGGTTGGCTAATGGGGATGTTGCGGATCCGCCGAGGGAAAAAGAAAAGGCCATTCTTTTGGGTGCGGGGAATGTACTTTAGACACTTACACTACATTTGCCATGTGAAGAGCGCATGCCAATGTCATGTTTAATTGTCCTTAACACTTTGTCCCCTCGACTCACTCAACTAACAGTACCCCTTTCGCTCTACTGCAATTACTGCAATTGAAGCGTCACCATGTCGTGAGGTGAGGGAGTTAGTTCAATCCATACGATCGATACGGTTCCGATGGCATATCTCCCGCGGTACATCCAACGGGTGGCTTGCGAGGACAAGGCGCTGCACTTCAATCATGATTGCTCCAGTCTTCCTGCTGCTCTGATATCCGCTAGATCAAACTCCAATATAACCCTGGTCCAACAATACTGCCCTCACGGCGAGAAGAACAGAAGCCAAAGTTAACCGCTGTGCGTGACAATCCCATCCCCCGGAATGCGCGCGCCGAACCTCCGAGCGCGTAACTCTGGCTGATTCCGCTGCCAGATATCCCAGGGCTGTTGTTGGTTCACGATGTGATTCAACTGGTCTTCTCGCCAGCTCACGGTTGAGATTTTTTTTGCATATAACTGTCGTCTTTCTCCTCTTGAGCTGGACTGAACTCATCGACTTCTCTTGTCCAGAGCTGATCCGAAAGGGAGCAGTCGACTGTGTGGACAACGTCCTCAAATTGTGACTTCGTGGTTCTAGTATTTTCTTATATTTTTACACTATACTTCTTTTGAGAGGCCAGACTATTGTCCCGCACACGTCCCGGGGAAGCTACTTTCATTTCCGACCGTGCATTGTGGAGTGAAGGACCCTTGCAGGCCCGGTCATACCGCAGTACGTGCCGCGCATTCCGTCTTGAGCATCACCACATGCGTGGGCTTGAACACGTCTGATTCAATCCAACAAGGCCTTCCACTGCGGAACATCATTACACAATCCACAATGTCGAGTGAAGTTGGCCGACCGACACTAAGCCAATCTCCCAGTAATGGGGAGCCCAAATGCACCCTTCCTTTGGAGAAGGTGTTCTCCATTCAGATAGGAACTGAGCTCTTCCGCCTCTCGGGAGCTTCAATTGCTTCCGATGGTCAGTCGACCCGAACCAGTCGCCCTCATGCTGTTCCTTGCTAAACTTGTGAAGCCCCGTCATACTTTTCCCGCTTCTTCGAGGAGCAGCTTCGCCTGAATGGAGATATCTCCAACGTCAGGACCCTGTATATCGACCGGGATCCCACCACATTCAAGGAAATAGCCAGGCATCTGCAAGGTAAATAGCGCGTATCGCAGAATGCAGCATCTCAACTAACTGTCGGCGACCAGGCTACCATATACAGCCCAAAGATGGGCCGCAGTTCGTCAAGTTCTTCGCGGATGCCCAATTCTATAGCCGTAGGAGACCCGTCCCCAACATCATTGAGAAAGCAAGTACTGACACCACCAGTTCCTCGATTGATCTCCCAACTATTCGAGTCGGAGATCTTCGTCCGAATTGGCGGCCACAATTTCCAGATTCCTCGCGATATCTTCTCTAGCCCAGGGGATTCGCCGAATTTCTTCACGTTGGGATTCGCCGCCTTCTTCGCCTCGCCACTGGAAGTATTTCCCGGGCTGGACCGTCAGGGTCTCCTGCGACCTCCAGCAATCACCCCGCCCAGCGTCCCCAGCCGCTCGGGCGAGGTCTTTGCGCAGCTCCTCCATCTCCTTCGCGGATATCCTCTGGATATCCGAAACGAAGCACATCGTGCAGAGCTCCTGCGGGACTGCCGCTACTTCCATCTGCGCGGTCTAGAGCAGCAGCTCATCCCGCACCACATCAGCTTCAATCCCATCCGCAAACGGGATGAGATTGTCATTCGCCTCGAGGACGTCCGTCGGTCGGGCATCGACGTAGAAGACATCGCTCTTCCTCCCGGCCACACTCAGGCCGACACCATGTCGGCAGCCCTGGTTACTTACTCTCGCCCGTTTGTCGATGATAAGAAGTACGATCTGATCCTCGAGATCGGGGACGATAGCACCATCCTCGACATCACCAGCAGACGTCCCACCTTTCTGGGCACCACGAAAGCCCGCGTAAGCAGCCTTCTGCAGGTGATAGCGGGGAAGAAGGGTGACCAGAACCGGCCAGCTGGACAAAAAGAGAGTGCGCCGGAAGACCGTCTGTGGGCCTCTCTCTCTATGGATACCGACATGACCGTCGACGGGGAAAAGGAGTACTTCCCCGATATTCTCCGGGACAGCATGTCCGGCTCGGAGGGTCTGTCAGAGGAGCCGTCGAGGAAGCGCAAGCGCGTTGAAGAGGCGTCCATTAATCGACCGTGGATTGTCCGCAACGGACAGTGGCGGCTGTGCATGCAACCGAGGCCCAAGGGAGATGGGATGGATATTGTCATGATTGCGGTGAAGTTGGAGGTGTATACGTTGCAGCGAACGCGGAATAAGCAGAGGAAGTTCCTCTCCTCTTGATCGTTCTATACCTATACATGACTTTGCTTTTATACTGTACATGTCCCGTTTTACTATTACTTTATGATAGACCCATGAACTCAATCCGAGAATCCCTCCCATTCGTCTTCCCCTTCTTCATCCTCATCCAACTTCTCGTCCACCTCAACCTCATTCTGCTCTTCCTTGATCTCCCCGTCTACATCCCCATCCCTCACAAACCCAGCAACAAAGAACCCCCCAGTCCCCTCCTCATCCCCCGGCCAACACCGCAAACACCCCTCCAACTCCTCATCCGACAGCGTCACCTCAACCCCTTCACCACCAGTAGCAGCACCGCCCTCAACCACCCTCTCCTCCCTAACCCCCCTATGCACCCATTTCTTCATCCCGACAGGCTGCTCATCCCTCCTGAGCACCCTCCACCCGCGCGTCCTCGCCACCTCCGAGGCCAAAATCCTCGAAACCACCGCCTCATTCTCCAACAAATGGATCGAGCACGTACTATACGTGACCCTCGTTGCGGCAGGGAAACTCAGCGCGTGCTCTACAATCCGCGTCTGCAGGTTCGAAAGCTTGATGAGGCGCTCCTCCGTCATTCCGGTTACCGGGACGTCGTTTTCGTCTGTTGCCGAGGGGGATTCTGTCATGGTGGTGGTGGTGGTGGTGGTGGAAGATTTCTTTCCTTCGCGACTGTCGTCCTCGTCGTTGGCGCGACGCTTGCGCTTTTTCCCTGTCGAAGAAGAGGAGGAGGAGGTTGTAGTAGACTCAGGGAGTGTCAGCTTAGGCACATCGTCGCGACCGATGATCCCACTTCCGGAGCAGCTCGGGTCGAGGAGCAGGCCTGAGACGTTCTCGAAGCGGGGATCAGTTGGATCCAGAGCGAGGAAATCCTGTCCTGGGAGGACGGTCACCATGGTGTCTGCGCCGGCGGTGGAAACCATCTTCTGGAGAGTCTTTGCTCGGATAGGCGATTGATCCATGGAGAAGATGTGGTAGGTCCCAGTTCCCTTGTTATGTTTATGTTGCTGCTTCGCCAACAACGAGGCCATATGCGTCGTCTTATTCCCCGGCGCAGCACACCCATCCAACAATCCACCACCATCATCCCACCCCTCATCCTCATCCCCAACAAGCAAATACGCAGGAAAGCAACTCGCCTTATCCTGCAAGATAATCTCCCCGTTCTTGTACGCCGGCGACGACGTAAACTCCGCTCCTGGCGCAACGGCAATGAGATCCGGGACATGGGGGTCAAGAACCATTCTCTTCGGGAGGATAAGCTCCGCTAGTGACGAGACCTGTTCGTAGCCTGCGAACGTGGTGGAGAGTTGTTTCTCCAGCGTCGTGCGGATGTTGTTTACTCGTACCCAGCGCGGATAGATTGCCGTGGATATTCCTGCTGCGCCCTGCAGAGCGAGCTTCTCCCTCGCGATGGCATCTTTCAGCGCCGGGATCGTGGCGCATCCGCGTCGCACTCGCGCTTTGGTGAATTCACCGCGCAGACGGGTCTTGTGTCGCTCGATGGTTTGGCGCAGGGGGTGGGTGGATTTGGCGGCCAGGCCGGATTTGGCGAGGAGGAGGTCGTGGACGAGGAGGAGGGAGAGGAGGGGAGTTAACTGTATTCAATTGGGCTTGGTTAGTTAGTATTCTCTGGATTGGATTGCTTCGTGGGTGTGTTGAGCAGGCAGGCAGGCATGGCTGGTATGTGTGTATATGTGGAGGTATGTGTGTATGTACCTTCGGCTCAAGCTTGAGTATCCCCGCTGCTTCTATTACTTCCTTGAGGAGAATATCCCATTTCGAGGCTTCGATGATGAGGGCGTAGATTTGCGCCGGAGCGGATTTGATGTTGCGGGCGTTGTAGATGCGGGATTTGAAGGAGCCACCGGTGGTGGAGGGGGCCGTGAGGATGGAGACGGCGTCGTAGTAGAGGGACATGATGGGGAGAGAGATGGTGGTTATTGCATGGTAGAGTTGTCGATATTGTGAGTTGAGATGCGATGCGATGGAAAAGGAAAACTTGGTGTTTGCATTGTTTGGTTGGGTTATCGGAGGAGATAAATAACTAAGTATACATTCAGATCAAGTAACCAAATACCAAACAAATGACCTTTATAAAAAATATTTAACCTATCTCATCGCTAAGACTAAATATATGGGACAGGAAGTAAGTAATCTGGCAAACATACCCAACCCTATCACATCCGACCTAATGACTCACCCACCACCAAACACGAGGCACATAAATAGTTGGAATAGGCCTTATCTCCGCATCTCCGTCCGATCTATACTTAAACCCGCATATCCCCCATCCCACACAATTCCCTCCACCTAGGCACCTACAATCTCCCCAACTCCCTCCACACCTCCCTAAACCACCACCTCTACACCCCTGAAACACAATGTCCACAGCCACCAAACAACCAACATTCACCACAACCCTCATCCCACCCCCGGGTCCCTCCTCCGATCCACCACTCACCGTCCACCCACCAACAACCACACTCGCAACCCCCACGGACCCCCTAACCACGGCCCTCCTGATCCGCCGGGACGTCTTCGTCCATGAGCAGAACTGCACGCCGGACGGGGAAATCGACTCGGACGATCCGCGCAGCTGGCAATGGGTAGTCTACGCACAGCACCAAGACACTGAACCCACCACCCCCACGCCCGTGGCCGTTATCCGTCTCGTGCCACCACCCCACGCACCGCACGAGATCCTCACGCACCCTGAAACAGCGTCGAGTCTCCCCAAATGGGATCTGAAAAGCGAGCCGTATGTGAAACTGACGAGGGTGGCGGTGGTCAAGGAGTGGAGGGGATATGGATTGGGACGGGTGCTGGTGGATAAGGCGCTAAAATGGGCGGCGCAGAATCCGGGGGAGATTCAACGGGCGTTTAGGGATGTTGCTGGGGTCGAGGGGGAGTGGAAGGGGCTGGTGTTGGTGCATGCGCAGGTGCAGGTGGAGGGGATGTATAAGAGGTTGGGGTTTGAGACAGATGAGGCGTTGGGGAGGTGGGATGAGGAGGGGATTGAGCATGTGGGGATGTGGAGGAGAGTGTCTGTTGAATCTTCTTAGATTTGGGGAGTCGTGTGTATATAGTGTATGTATTGAGGGTTGTTAAGAGGATAGATCTACATGTGGGTATACAGCTACGTGGATAGAGGGTTGGTTGGTTGGTTGTTGAATAAGTCTATTGCATATCATGGTGATGTCAAACTCCACAGCTCATCAAGTAAACTTCACACTGAAGCGAAAAACAAGGAACCAACAAAGAGATCGCCGCGCATAAGCAACCATGACGGGGTATCCTGAGTAGTAAAAGGAGAACAAGATTAAGAAAAGAAGCCCCCCGCATCTCTGTCGACGATCTGTCGCAGCTCACAAATAAAGAAGAAATCAAACGCCCGTAAAGCCCATTAGCCATTAATCCGCAATTCATCCGAGCAAACTCCAAGCAATGACCGAAACCGTTGAAGAAAAAAAACAAACCCACATGGTGTAAAACAGAAGCGAAAAGCGACAAAAAGTATGTTCTAAAACAGGTATGTATGAAGTGAAGTTGCTTCCCAATGTCGTAGTGTCAATGGACATGGGTGGTATGGACATGTTGTTGTTCATCAGCCGTGGTTGTCGTAATAGTTTAGAAAGTGCTCCAGTTCCAGCCACGAGGGACGCTGGCGGCGATCTCAGTGCTCTGGGCCAACACTCCGGTCAGAGCGGGCTTCGCATTCTCGTCCGGCGAGATATCCGAGCGGTCGGAGGCGGTATTATATTCTTCATTGTCACTGTCGGAGGCTCTGCTTTGGGCATCGAGCAGGCTCTGGATCTTGCTCAGGCGTTCCGTACGAGACTCCTCCCAGCGCTGGTAGGCGCTCCAGCAGAGGTCGCATGCGCGGGAGGGAACTCCATCAGGGTGGAAGCGAGCATTCTGATCAAGCGGGACGACATGAGGAGTGTGGGAGGAGCAGAAGACATGGCCGCAATGGCGACAGTGGTGACGACGAAGGAAGAGACCGAAAGAGGAGCGGCAGGTAGGAGAGTCGCAGTTGGGGGAAGCAGAGTCCGCCTGTTGGAAGGTTTTATTAGCACAAGTTCATTTTTGCTTCTTTGCAAGGGGGTTTGTTGCAAGGCTGCCTGGATGTCGTCATGGCGATCACGCGATATCGCGCAACGCAATAATGGCGCGACCCGGGGCTCGGCTTGCGCCATGACAACACTATATAGTAGACGCGTCCACCCAGGGGCAAAGGGACTGAAGAAGTTGGTTTCACTTACTTTCCAGTGATCACGAGTGGGAAGACCAGTGACCTCACCCAGGTGCTCATTCTTCATCCATTCATCCTCTGCCAGCTTGCTGACAGCAGGACCGCTGTTGTAGCTCTCCATGGTCGAACGACGAGTAACAGGTGCACCAACTTCGCCCTCGTTCAGGCTGTCGAGAGAACCGTGAGAACCGTGAACGCTGCGGGGAGGAGTCGGGGGAGAAGAGGCCTTCTGAGGACGCTCAGTCGGGCGCAAGGCAGCAGGAACGTAGAGAGGGCCCTTGAGGGGACGAAGTTGCTTCGACTGAAGCGGCAAGTGCTGATAGCGAGGAGAAGTAGGAGAGTTATTTGCGGGAGAGGTCTCGGCCGAGTTGACAGGAGAGGGATGGCCGTAGACGGAGATTTGCTTGCCAGTGAAAGCAGGGGCAGTAGTAGTCGCAGTCACAACGTGGGTAGCCATTTGAGATGATATCAGGTGTTGAAATATTGAGAAAGAATTTGGGGTAGAAGGTGGAGGAGATGTTGGTTATCAAGTGTTGGTAGAGTGGAGAGTAGTTGAGAGGATGGAAGTCAAAAGTGGAAGATAAGGTGACAGTAGACCAAGTACTAATAGCAGCGGATGTTGAGGGAATTATGAATTATCGCTTTCAGTAAGGTGTCAAGTGAATCGATGGGTTATGATGCCAACAGTAACCAGAGAGGATTAGATCAGTTAATGGCCATTGACAGAGTAGCTGGACGGAACCAGAAGCGCATCGCAGTGGCAAGCGGGAGAGTGGTGGGATAAAGTTCGCGATGACGCTGGGATCTGGAGATAGGCGATATAGAGAGGATCGATCCAGGGAATCGGGTTGCAGCACAAGCAAACCGCGTGGGGGGTGGAGTTGAAGTAAGTGAGTTAATAGTGAGATGATAAAATAGTTAAGTAGTGGGTGGGTGGTACTCGAAACGAATCGGGACGAGTGAAAGGGAAGGGGGAGAAGCAGGTGATAATGGTGGGCGATGAAGGGCTACTAATAAGAGAGCGAGACTCTACTCCTACAGGACACTCCCAGCAGGAATGAATGAATTATTAAGTGGCATCCGCCGGACGGGGATGGGGGGGTGGGTGGAAAATGGGAAATGGGCAATAGGGAATGGGCGATTTTTTGCCATGCATTGTGGAGATGCGCTAGTGGATGGAGACCCCGATGATAATAATAATTATCATCATCCTTGAACACGCTAAATTAACCCGACGAGCAGCGCAGTCTCGTCTGCTTGGACTCGATAGGTAGTTCCGACGGCGGCTTAGGTTGAGGCTAGAAAGTCCCGAAGAAAGGCAGGGAGTGGAGCCGTTGGAGGATCGGAGGCGACCTTACACTCCCAGAAAGTTACGCTTGATCGTGACGATAACTGACTGAAGTTACTTTCCCTACCCTACCCTACACTGTAAGTAACAAAGGGGGAATATTATTACTCGACTTTTACTGGATGTATCTACTACGACTTGAATGTTACTTTACTTTTTGGGATCTTATTTGCTTCTTCGGATAATATTCTCCTCTCTTTCTCACCCCTTTCACCCTGCAAGATGTCATAAGAATGTGATCGTGACCTACTGATAGTTCATCTTATTTCATGTTTCTTTCCTTTCCCATACTCATATCTTACTCGACTAACCATTGTTTTTTCCCCCTGACGAATTCGTTGCCGAGGACTGGAGGGAAAATCCAGGAGATTTGTTTGGAACTGGACGGACTCCCCGATCGTCCGGCGTTACCAATCCGTAACAGCAGATCGGACGGATTCAGGTTAGACTAACCCCAAACCAGCACGGCATTTTACCGAGGCCGCCCTGAGAAAGAGAAGATAATCTCCAAAGCCGGGATTTAGACGAATATCGGATACTACGCCGGAGTGTTACTCTGCTGGGTGTTTCCGATTGTCTTAATAGTTGGTATTATTATGATGGGGGATAATGATGACGAGAGATGCAATATACTCGTTACTCTGTATGCCCGGCAATTCCTCCGTGATAGTCATATGAAAATGAAAATAAAGGTAATACATCCAATCTATCTACTTCTGCCCGGTTCTTGGCAGATTCATGACATTTGTACCGGTGGGTGGGATGGACAAATGCGGTGTTACTACCTGCTGCCCGTCCACGGTAATATCCAGAGTGGACGGAGGATGGCTGCATCGCCAACCAGTCAATACCACTCGATATCCATTCATTCCTTCCCCCCTTCCGCCGAAAGTCATGATGACAACAACCATACACACACCACCACCCCCTGCTCTCTCTTGACCGCCTCTTGCTTCCCACCCGCACCGGGCATTCCTTCGATCGAGGATCTTCCGTATCTTTTCCCCTCCATACCGCCCATCGATGATTCATTCATCCCCGCGGCATGCACAGGGCGGCCCAGAGTCAACCTTGTATCATCCTTTTCCAACTCTCGATCCTGAGGCAAACAAGTATGCATCCCGGTCTAGTGGCAACAAGACTTGGAACACGGTATCATCATCGAAAATGGATTAATGCCCGCATCTGATAACTTTCCCCTTTGAGCCATCTCCATTGTTCTTCCCCCCACTACTCCTCACGATGTACACAGCTGTCCCCATTATTCTCCCCTTCTCCAAACCCACCAACTGCCAATATCACTCACTCTGCTGTAAGCACGGGAGTCTACCGTGCAAGGTACCACAATTAATCATGAAAGAGGGTCCGCTTCTCCATTAAAAAAAAGCGGACACCTAACGCGGACTCCAACCGCCATCGGATAGACTACTTTGTAATAGTGGCAGCTGAAAGAGAGACAGACACAGACAGAGAGAGACACGCCTCTGAGCGACGGCTACAGACCACGGAACGCTCGACCGGTGAATCTCCCATCAAATCAAAATAGGGTGGCTTCTCATTGGCAAGCGGACTCCACCCGAGGTCAAGACCCACTGGCCGCCTTGACCGCGATGACTTGCTCTCTTAGGAAGAGTTCACGAGACCAACTGCTAGTACTACTGTGTACATGGGTGTTCCCTTCCCAAAGCCTCGGAAGTAGAAATGGTCTATCCTATTTCCAATGATCACGGGAAGGGGAGTCAGTGTGCAGTTACCACTTACTACAGTACTACTACTATTTACATATCCACACATACATCCACTGTTATCCCCATCCCCTTGCAAGCAAGACTCCATCAAGTCCAACGTCTTTCTGGCGGTGACAGACCGACCGTTGTGTCCGACTGCTCTCCCGTGCCAATCAATCCGATCGGATAAGAAACAGATGAGATGGAACGGAAAGCATGGACTGGGTTTGGGTTGGATTGGATGGATGGCTGCTCAGAATGGGGCCTTTGCACCGGTGGGAGTGGAAACCAATTAGCTGGAGAACCGCTTTTCCCAAAGTCGGTGGATCCCTTGAACCTCGCCTCCGGATTGGAGTCCTCCTGCAGCTCGTTATCGCTGCACACTGATTGGCTGAAAAGGTCTTGCCACGTTGCCATTGGTCAGTGCCCCTCCAGGCCAGCACGGACAGTCCCCGAACCAGTCGCCTCTCCAGGGCGTCTCTCCTACTGTGCACTATAACTTTCATGACTTGGTGTCTTTGTCGGGCAAACTGCCTCGAGCAGATTATGTAACAGATACAACAAACCGCGTCGCGTGTAGACACCTTCGGTACCGCTTCGGGTTAGCGCTTCCGGTGCACCTCGGCCGTTGAGCCTTTGACTTGCCGCTGTCGACTTTCTTCGGCTTCCCCTGCGCCCGTGGTGGATGCGCCTGACTATTGAAGCTGTGATGATTGGACTGGTCTCGTGGATTTGGGCCTGTCAAATTATTCATGGCGGCACACGACCGAGGCAAGTCAGTATTTTGATTGCCTGCCCCGGTGTGCAACTTGGTGCTATACCCAGCTGAAACCCGCCTCGAATATTCTAGTCGGCCTTAGTCTAGCAGCCGCTACGGTGAGTCTAAATCGGCAGAGGATCCCACTCCTGACAGGCCGCCTGCTGGTTGGTGCAGACGTGCAGCTCAGGATGTAAGACATCCGCGGACTTACATGCACCGTACAGCCTGGCTGTGAACTATCCTCAAGGCACATCCCTGCCGCTGCAGCTCTAGACCGGGTGCGAGGCGGTGGCAGGATGTACCTAGTACCTGACTACTCAGGATCCCTCCCTGGCACCAGAGAGGCACCCAGGAATACTAGCTGCTTCATTTGTCCAGCTTAGGAAATGACGACGATGGCTTTGTTTTCGAGCAGGGATTCAAGCAAGTTAGGAACTATAACTGCTGCTCGTTATATGGAAGCGCCTGGAAAATGCGCTGGCGTCTCAATTTCGAGGCGATTCGATACGATCGTGAAGCAGGCCGCTTAAGCGCTTGGCCGGATCGACCGCTAAGTAGACATCAAACACGGATGTAACCCAGAGCAGGCTCCTGCGTTAGGAACTGATAACTGAGGCGACTCCGTGTTTAAGCGCCAAGCTAAGCATCAAGAACAGTCGATCCATCAGATTAGGAGTCCGACGGGTTTGATCACCCTTTCCCAGCAACCAGGTACATCCCTCCCTCTTGAGATGAACCCATCCTACTACGTACTCCGTATCGAGCTTCCATACGAACAGAGCAAAACAAAAACAACGCTCTTCAGACGGTTGGGAACTGCCAACCAATCATATCCACCCTATCAATAATAACGCGGGAACCATACTGTATACGAGTCCCTTCCCCCCCTCCTCAACCACACGAGGAGGAGACGTGGTTAATTCTCGGCATCTCCAAACCCTACCATATCCGCGTAGCCCGACACCCTCCCCAACCCCGAACCACGGTTCAACGCAGAGCCGGACAGACAGCTCAACGTCGATCCCACCCGAACAGGTAATCTCATCGAACACTCGTCGAAGCCTCCGTGCCCGAGAATTGCCCCTCACCGAGGAATCGCCTGCCCGGCCGTCCCTCGAAGGCAAAAATTCGGGGCGATGAACAACGATGATCCGAAGATCACTGGCGGTGGATGTCTGGGCCAGGGCGAACCGTACACATGATACGATCAGTGATCAGTGGGAAAAGTGGATGTGCATACGTGCCACAACTCACTGCCACTAGACTAAACTTACTAGACACAGCCGAGCCGACCAGACCAGCCTAAGATAAGCCAGTCCTCTGTCGAGTGTAGATAGGCAGTGCCGGGGGCAGCGAACCAATGTTTGCGATGGAGACTGAGACCGCGTAGTCTAGTTCAGTTGTTGGGTTGACTCCGTACCACTCGTGGATGTTTGTTTGTTTGTTGTTTACAACCTTAAAATAGAGTCGAGTATACGTATGTCGCTTGGCTGTTGTTTCTTCTAACAGTGAAACACCATCATCAATTCGTCCTGAGGTTAGCGTATGCCAAATAATATTTTCTTTTGTTTTGTTTTAGGTGTTCTTTGTGTAACCATCATCAGGAGATTTTAGTCCGCTGCAGAACTGCAGCCCAATTATTGGGTCGCTGCTTCATCCGATGCATCCGGATCCTGATCGGGTTAGATCGGTTGGCTCTCAACATCCTTTCACATTGGAGTTAGGATTAACGTTCACCTTGCTTGTTTGGGCGTTGTATGGCATACACTCTAATTTCGATTTATTCTCCATTTGATTGCATAGTAACCCATATCAACTAAGCAGGGGACTTTGCACTTGTGCATTATATGCACTGGCACTATGTAACACAAATATATACAGCTGAGATTGAGCTGTTACCCCTCCAACGCTACTAGGCCATGAATTGGTAGCAAAACGATGAGGTCTCGTCCAAGTAAGTACTACTGGATACTATTAAAGAGATGATGGTTATTCAATCCTAAAATAAACACAAGCAGTACTACGACCAGTAGCAGTCCCAACATACCCCCAAAGATAATTAATTAACCTACATTATACACAATCCAAACCTACCCAACCTCCTCCTCACCACACACCACTACATAGCTATTAAACACTGAAAGTACGAAAGCCAAATCTAGCACTCAAGCAGCAGCTCACTATTCACCAGTTGAAATCACTATGCTGATCACTGCACCTAGAGCCTCAAACTTCCCTTCCGTGCTCCCCCCAAGCGAAGTAAAAAACCTAAAGCTATACGAATAAGGCTGGCTATCAAAACCTACTTTGTCCTGCCCAATCTACTACCCATCATCTCGGGAAGTCAAGAAAAAAGTACGAAGGTGTGTGCTTTGACGATGGCGCACGGTTGCTTGAGGTATCTGTGCTGAAGCTTCTGGGTTGGTGGTGAGGTAATAGGTAGATAGCTAGCTAGCTGGCGATGGATGGGATTGAAGGAGCGAGGAAGGAAGGTTTGGGCTGCAGTGGTGGTAAGTTGGGAAGGATTCGCTAGTGACTAGATTCATGGTGTGGATATGGTACTATTGTCCTTGGGGATTTGTGGGAGATAAGGAGTTAAGTGCTACAGAGCATTGTATGATTTGACTGGTCTGAAATGAATATGTAGTTGCTGTATTTCGTGGCTGAGTATAGAAATGCTAAAGGGTATTATAGGTATCAATGACTATTGGAATTACTTTGCTAAATGGACATACTCAAGTATTTTAGACATCATCAATACTGCCTGTATACTTACAAAACCAAATAAGCAGCTCTTGAATCAATATCAGATACCATCACATGCTATTGTCCAGATGAAGGCTAAGAATAAGACCAACTCATCAGCACATCCCTGTCTCTCTGGAATATACTCTTACTAGTTACCCCGCCACGAATGCCACCAGAGCCCCGCTACTCCGATGATGGCGACAGTATCGCCGCCTTCGGACATAACAGTGATTCTTTGACAGAAGATATACAGTAAATTCCCGCAACCGAGGAGGCGGGATCTAGATCGAGACCGAGCTGGATGTGTCGGCGGCAAACGAGGGTAGACAGATATCTAGGCGAACTCCTATTCTTTGCCGAGAATTATCATATTGGATTTGTCAAGCATCACCTTATTTGAAATGACGCGGAAGCACTAGTCCGAGTTGGTTTCCTCAGGCGTTGGATCTGTCTCGTGACCGGCATGAATTAGTGTTGTTTCTTGTTGCTGTGGCGGTGGCTACTAACCATCTACAATCTACATAGTATCCATCCACTCGATTTAGTTCCTCTCAGCTGGGGGCAAATGGCAGAATAGCGTGCTTCGTTCTGCAGGCGACCAGCAGGCGACCGGTGAATACTACTAACCAACAGAGGGTCTACAGTCCACATAGGCGATAGTCTAGACAAGGCTGTCCTGCTCTACGGCTTGTTGTTGATGCCCAAAGCGTCAATGGCGGGGTGATTTCCAGTTACCCCTCACTCAACTTTTCTTTGATTCTCACCGCAGCCCCTCTTCAATCTATGATAGACACTCCCCAGCCGCGTCTGGCCGCCATTAGCGCTGCCTCAAGTGACATCACTACGGTGTTCCTCTTTTTGAGATACAGATGGATACATTGCACTTGAGTTGAGCGCTCATGCACCTACCGGCCGCACGGTGAGTTGTTCTTCTGTCTTCAATGCTGATGATCTAGTGCGGTGGAGTACCTATCTGCCGAGTACATACACACATTCTGGAATCCCCTCTGCTGCATACCTGGTATCTGGAGATAAGATCGGAAGAACCCCGCAGTCTGCCATCGTCCACATCTGCTGACTGACTGACTGACTGACTGACTGACTGACTGACTGATATTCATCCTCGTCAATGGAGTCAAGCATGGATCCCTCAGCCACAAAGGCCAACGACCGGGCCGAGCAGGGTCAGCCTGACAAAGAAGCACCGCTGCGCTCGGAAGATTGCCAACTAGGGTCTCTGCAGCCATACTGAGTCACGCGTGAACTCCCGCCCCCTCTTTGTTCCGATCTCTGTCGATACGAAGTGTACATAGTCGACTTTCCGACTCTGGCCGTGCCTTGTCTACAAGCTAGAACTGCACGCATCCGGACGCGCGGGCAGACGGACACGTGTCGGCCGTCCAGTATGCAATCCGTGCGTCATCTGAGGGCGGCCATGGGCTCGGGACCAAGGCAGTAAGCATACCGGCATCCAGCCAGGTCAGGTTCAATGAGCATTGACCTGTTCCGTCCAAGAATGATGTCTTACATCCAGCTGTCACCGCTATAAGCTTCAAGGCCCGGTGCCAGTTGATGGGTGTGTATATACCCCGCATTCTGCAGCTAGCCTGCTCCGGGCCTGCCCGGACACATGCTACTCATCTGCCTGAGATGTTACTCGTCCAATAGTGCTGGCCAGATAGTTTACACATCCGGCTGTCTCTAGCTTTTGACACGTGTGAACCCGGGGCTATCGCGGGTATGTCTTCTTTGATAACCTGCGACAAGTCATCTAGAGTGTGCGAGAGGTCATAGTCCGTGCCAGGACGCATGGCGCGCGGGTGATGACCATAGCTGTTATCTATCGGGACGTGCACGATATTGGGTGTCGTAGGCTATCATGAATATCGAATTCCGATGACGCCGCTGTGTTCTGCCCAAAGGTGGTAAAATATCAGATACAGTCCTTCAGATAGCTTCTAGACATGGCATCGTCCGTTCACATGACAGTAGGACTAATAGAACAGCTGCCATGGCACCATCATCTCGACTGGTCCATTGTAGTCCCCATTGCAAAGGATTCATTCACATGTTATTCTGGCCGACTTGGACTTGAACTTCTACACCTGCCCACCTCAGATCAATACAGCCCCTCACACTAGTTCTGTTCCTTTATCAAGCCATCGGTTTACCAAGACGGCGCTGACATATGCCCAGGGAGACATGTGTTAATCACTCTGGATGTGCGCGCCGACTAGTCACAGTGTCTATAGTGAGCTGCAAGAGTGCAAGTTAATCATTTTGAGATATTGCAAGTCATGCATGCTTACTGCCTCTATCTTGACACATCATCAGGACGAAAGTGCCATCAATCAAATCATTCATTTCGAATCAGACTGATTCACCCTCATCCCAACCCTCATGAAAGATAAGCTACCAGATGATACCATCCATCTAAGATACGTAGCACAGCACCAGTCAAAGAATTATCAACAATGTTCCATATCACCCGAACCGGCGCGAGTTGCATCCGCCTAGTTACCTCACATGAAGCAGACAATCTGCCGGTCTTTGGAAAGACAACCTGAATCTTGTTCACACTAGGTTGAATATCTGACACACTAGCAAATGGACATGAATACCCTACATGAACACAGATATCAAAGCCATTAGTTGTTCATAGCTCGATAAGAAAAAGGGCATTACTCACGAGCAAGCCAGACTCAAAGACATGCGTATCATATCTAACACATCCTAGCACGCGCACCGTGGAAGCTTATCTACGACTATGATAAGATCCTATCTCCCGCAACATTCAAGGGTCTAGCTTCATTTCTATACGAGTACGGGATGCTTACGCTGTAATGATCTTGAGTTGTATCCCTGGATATGAGAATCGGTCAGATCAATACGCCTGCAATTGCGGATTATATCCGTAATCATGCAGAGTTGAACATATATTCAGCCGAATGTGATATCGAGTGCTGTTAAGTTTATGGGTATGTTTGAAGAACATAATGCATACAGAAAGATGCTGTAGGTATTGCAAGTACATTCTCCATTGAGAGTTAAGTAGCTAATCTCCTGACTATTATGATTTCCCTCTCCAAGGGGCATCATATTGAGAAGACCAGCTTTGACCAGAAATATGATTTCAATGCTATCCAGAGCTTTCCACAGCCTGTCTCACTGTCCAAGGAGCTACCCCAGCCCCGGGGGCCAAAGTAAAAGAGTACGTTCGTCAGGTATGTGCAGTTTCGGCGTGAAAAGGCTAGCATCGTGAAGAATGATCTCACTTCGACAGTGGCTTTCTCTCCATCACACATGTAAGAAAGTTCCCGGATAGGCCACCGTTTTGTATATTGCTGATATTCTTGCAGATGAATACTATGCCAGAATTCCTGTGTCCAAGTAGTTCAAAACATATATATATCGTTTTGAGAACATGGAGCAGGAAAGTGAGATGTATTACTATGATGGTATGTGTTGGATACTGATGTGTCTATCGTTCACGGCTTCTATAACTAGCTTTTCTCGGTGTTCTTCCCTTTGTGGGACAGGTCAAGAAATCATAAGTGCTGGTAGTAAGCTAAGCACAGGTTAGGTTCAATAAGTGTTAGTATGGAACTAGCACATTATACCAGGAACTGAGACGGAGGTAAGCGTTCATCTGCAGGATCTAGTCTAGTGTCTCTGGGCTGAAATAATCTTCTGACCACCTGCTCATCCTTTACCCGATGTCAAAGACAGCCAATGTTTCAACTCCGTGAGCAAAATAGTATCCCTGCACCATTTGAAACCACTAGCTAACCGAAACAACCTCTCTAGCTGCAGAAAGCTAGTCTAGTTCCACGATCGCAAAATCAATGCTCATTTTACAAGCCTTGAAGAGAAATTTCCCTACAGCCCTGTGCTCTAGACCCAACCCTCGCTAACCAACATCCGACCATCCGACCATCCAAAGCCAAACACAAAATCGACGAGGTCCAGAATCCAAAGCAATGAATTAAACTTCAACCAGTCTCAATCTTAGCGTGTCGGAGCGCACTCAATCCCCACCGCGGAGGATATTTGAACTCCACTAGCGCCGCGTCCGTCTTACGCAGCATTTTAGCAAGTTAAAAGAATCTAAATCATTGAGGCAGGGCGAATCATATTCCTTCAGTTTCAGGGTTGCCTGGCTGGGAGTGGAGTCACTTTTTCTTAACTCCATGCGTAGTTTTAAACTAGTTCAGTAGTTATCGCGGATGATGGCCGATTGCGGTGACAAATTGGTTTGGCTAAGCGGATATACTACTGCCCCGGGATGATCTGTGCTCAGGGGTTCGGTCCGGGCGGCCCTCGGTTGCTTGGCTTGCTGGTGGTCCACGGATATAACATGCTTTGGGTATGTGATGTTGAGTGGTGAGTGGTGAGTGAGGTTGTGAGGGTCGTGATACAGGTTGATGGTTAGGATTGTTGGTTAAGTAGTGCTGTGGGCTGCTGCTTTTGTTTGTAGATAGACCCCCACGGTCATATGAGATGGGTTGGGCTAGTGGTGGAAACGGACCGGCCTCTTTTGTCAATAGACTAGCCTTATGGTTAGCTTCGTGTCAAGTTGATTAGTTTGCTATGGGATTAATTGGTCTGCTTGGCAAGGAAAGTGGCTGGCTAACATTTTACCGGTAGGGTGTTGAGTTGAGGGTTGAGTGCGTGTCCCTCGCAGTCCTGACAGATGGAAATGCTTCACAACCGCCTAAATTATAGGAGTCTAGCAGAGTTTTCTACTAGCTGTAGCCATCAAGAACAGCTAATGGGGACAGTAGCCCATAGGGTCTTCAGCAGTAGTGTACGTTAAGCCAAATTAAAGATGGCGAGATCAGGACACTGCAAGGAACAGAGGCAAGATGGAAGGACAACCATTGACAGTTAAAATGACATTCTAGGACATGCGGATAGCATTTCCACCAACCGTGGTATTTGACAAAGGGTAAGAAGACAGGGTTGACGAGCTCCAGCCACTACACTTGACTTCATAAGCTTCGCTCGTTGTCGCAGATGATGTGGCGAAACCTCCCGCCAGAGTTGCCCGCAAGGGATAACCATGTAGGGCTCGCTGTTCGAATGAGTGTCGAGGCAAGGTGTCCATAGCCAGCACAGTTCTCTGTATACTGTAGACTTTTACACCGATTATGTGCTGTCCATTGAATAGGACTGTTCATCTTACGATTCAAGGGACACTCTGGTGGGCGAGGTGGTGCATCAAGACCCAAACAATCGTACTAACACAATGACAATAGAACCAGAGGTAGCAACATCTTTTTTTCATAGTATTCTAATATCAATCAGCCGGTATGCAGGGACAATAGATCGATCGCATCTGATCTCGTGCCTGATCGATAAGCTCATCATCAGAATCTCATAATCTTGAATTCCTTCCTCTCCGTCTCCTGCATTCCGACCCCCGGAACCATGTCGATCCCTGCCTCCAGGCAAAGTTCATATCCAGACAATTTAAACAACGCATCAATTAAACTTTCAGGTCCGACCACTAGCATTGAACTAAGCAGGAACTAACAGACCGGACAGACCGGTTCTATCCACAATTCCATTATCGCGTCCCGTCGTTGGCAACCGGTGCCTCTTGGCCTCCGATCGCGCATGCATTAGCGACAGGCTGTTCTTCCCCTTCGTCGTACGATCAGTCATGCAGGAAAACTGTGTTCATTTAAATGGCGATTTAGGTTCTGAGTCCTGCATATTAATCGTGCTTTAGCTCGGAAAATTTTCTTCTGCTGCTGCTGCTGCTGCTGCTGCTGCTGCTCCTGGCCATTCTTTAAACATAATCTGTTCCTGCTCATCTCTTCATCTCTGTCTTTTTCTATGTCTGTGTGCTGAAGAAGACTGGAATCGACGAGCACGATGGAGTTCGAGCACGAGCCCAAGCAGCAGGTTGATCCTGTGGTGGCCACCGATTTACAACATTCCGACAGTCCATCCACCGTGGATGTGCCGATCAACGCTTCTGGCCACAAGCAGGAGCTCGAGCGCAATTTTGGCTTCATTAACATTTGTGGTTTGGCTTTGACTAGTGGAAACACCTGGATTGCTTTGGGTGGGAGTATCGTGAGTGTTTTCTTCAATCATTTTTATTTTATAGATGTCGTCATCTGTAGATTTGCTTGTCTCCGACCGTCCGATAACTGATACTTTCTACCATCCAGGTCACGGCTATCTATGATGGAGGTCCGCCCGGTGTGATCTATGAGATGTATGTCCACTGCCACTGCAATTCTAAAGAGGGAATAATACTAATTCTCTCACAGGATCGCAGCCTCATTCTTCTACTGGTTCATTGCTGCATCGCTCGCTGAACTTGCCTCGTCCATGCCATCATCCGGTGGAGGTTCGTCTTTCACCACGCTTACACTCAGAACAACACACTGACCTCTACAGTCTACCACTGGGCATCCGTCACAGCAGGAAAATATGGTCGCGTCTGCGGCTGGTTCGCCGGCTGGTGGAACTTCCTAGCCTGGATCTTCGGTGCTGCCTCGACGACGCAGATTCTAGGCACGCAGGTCGTGTCCGCCTACGCCTTGTTCCACCCCGACTACACCATCGAGCGCTGGCACGTCTTCATCGCCTACCTGATCTGCTCCATTCTCTGCTGCTTCCTGGTCGCATTCGCCAACCGTGCCCTCCCCATGATCGAATCCCTGGGCGGATTCCTCGTCGTCGGTGGCTTCCTCGTCACCGTCATTGTCTGCGCCGTGATGCCCCACGTCAACGGACAGCCCTACGCCACGGACGACTTCGTCTGGCGCGACTGGCTCAACGAGGCCGGATACAGCAGCGACGGCTTCGTCTTCTGCCTGGGAATGCTCAACGGCGCCTTCGCCGTCGGCACTCCCGACGTCATCTCCCACCTGGCCGAGGAGGTCCCCAAACCCGGGAAGAACATCCCCCTCGGCATGCTCGCCCAGTACGTGATGGGCTTCTTCACAGCCTTCCTCTACCTGATCGTCATCTTCTACGGCATCACCGACCTCAACGCCGTCCTCGAAGCCCCCTACCTCTTCCCCCTCACCGAAATCTACCTCCAAATCACCGGCACCCGCGGCGGCTCTCTCGGCCTCATCATCGTCTCCATGCTGCCGCTCTTCGTCGCCATCGTCGGCTGCTACCTCACCTCCAGCCGTGTCCTCTGGACATTGGCCCGCGACCGCGCTACCCCCTTCAGCGGCTACCTGGGCCGAGTCAACCACCGCTTCAAGAACCCCCTTAACTCGGTCCTCGTCTGCGGCTTGATCGCTATCATCCTCGGCTGTATCTACGTCGGTAACTCCACCGCGTTCAGCGCCTTCGTCAGCTCCTTCGTCGTCTTGACGACCCTGTCTTACTCCGCTGCTATTCTCCCGCACCTGCTTCGTGGCCGTCAGGGCATCCCCCGCGGCTGGTTCTGGATGAGTGGGATTACGGGATACCTGGTGAACACGATCACTTGTCTGTACATGATCGTGTTTATTGTCATCTTCTGCTTCCCGTTCTCGATGCCCGTGGATGCCGAAACCATGAACTATACGTGTTTGATCACGGGTGGGTTCACTATCTTCATTGCCCTGTTCTGGTTTGTTCGTCAGGGTAGTTATACTGGGCCGAAGGCTATTGCGTTGGAGAGTAGTGCGTTGGCTAAGGATGCTATTTAATGTGGGAGTGGGGGTTGTACTGTATATAGGAGGGTAAAAGTTCGCTGGGTTTAGTAATTTATATTAATACTGATAATACATAAAGCGCTGTTGGTACATTTCGGTTTAAGTTCTATGAGTAGTAGTATCAATGAACATGCACGTCTACTGTCTTATTCACTGCAAATATATATATATATATATAATCCTGGTGTACGATCGGATTACACTTGGTGATACTAGCGCTAGAGCCAGCACGAAAGAGACAGGAGTACAGATTGATTGGAGAAGTCAGTACCATGAGAGAAGATGTTCTAGTACATGCCATGGCAATGAAAACAAGTAAAAGCGAGTCTCACACACCGTCAAACCAGCTATGCGCCAATGCCTGACGTGCTGTGATTCTCCTCTTTGGATCAAGATTCGTCATGGCACAAATAAGGCTTTTAAAATCATCGTCGACTCCCTGCCAAAGAGAGAATGGCCTGACCGGGTTGTCCTGATTGAATCCACTCAGGGTTATGTTGAAGACAGAGGCCCAGGGATTGTCACCCAGGTATTCGAGAAAACCATGGAATCCATCTTTGTCGGCGAAGTAGGAGATTTGACGCTCAATCACGATGGCTAGGCGGTCTATACCTTCATCTAGTTCGTCGTCTCCGACTGCGAATATGACCCGTTTATGTACTACGTAGATACACTCGAGAAAGTTAACACTTGAGCTAATGAATAGAGTGGTGATACTTACAACAAGAGCGAACGAGAAGATATCGGACGGTTTATTCACCCGTCCTCTAGCATGGGCTTCGGGACTCCTCCACATCCAGTTGCCTGCTTGCTTCCCAAGCATGGATGAGCCAGGAGGGATGTATACGGCGTCTTCGAGGTCGCCAAGTTGGACTTTCTCGATGGTGATGCCGTTATCGGACTGTTTCCAGTTGACGAAGAAGTTGTCCGCTTTTATATCTATCTAGAGTAAGCTACTGTTTGTTAGTCCACTCAGGGTAAATTGATTCACCTGTGTGAACGACGTCCTTCTCATGCATCTCGGCGATCCCAAGAAGAGCTTCTTTGAGAAGTCTCTTTCTTGTTTCAAGTGACAAATCCTTCTGAGCCAAGTGGAGAAGATGACCCGTGAGGTATTCAAACACATACATGGACTTCTCAGGGATGATGTCCTGGGCAAGACGAACATGGCTGGCATCGTTGCGTAATCTGCTGTTTACGTCTTGAAGGTCTTCGAAATTGACCTCGTGGATATACTTCAATATGAATCTTTCATCACCAGCGCTAATGGAATATTAAGGGATTGGTCAAGAGTAGTAGTAGTTAGGTCTACTCACGTTGCGAGGAGAACCTGACGTGGCGGGGATGCTTCTTCCTGAAGAATCCGTTCAACTTTATAATTACGGCCAGATTGGCCAATATACTCATCGGCGTGGATTGAGGAAGTTGGAATTGTGCTTGCTCTGCGGTGGAGACGACTGCTGATGATCGATCTGTAGCTAAGGAGTCTTGGACTCACGAGAGCCGAGTGTGCCCGCGTCTTGAAAGAGTGCACAATTGGAGAACATAATGAGAGCATTGAGAAAATGCGACTGACTCGAGTAGTAAGTCTGCTTGGCTTAGAGGATCCTGACAGAAGATGTGTGGCTTCGAATGGAAGTCAACATCAGGTGACAGATGCAAGGGGTGCTTGGGGAGCACGCCACTGTGGCAGGGCTGGGGTTACAACATTGCGCTCAGCAGTCAATATGACCCATGAGCATGCCTTAATTCTGGCATATCACTAAAGTCGCACTTTATCATGCTCGAGTAAGGTCTGCACTCTAGTTGAATGCTTACTCAGGGATCACGGGCCCAATACAGCCCTTAGTATGTGTATCTCAGAATCAGGCAGGTCTATTGCTACAACTATTCCACACATCTACAATCGAACCGGCTCTTTATCCTCCTCAACACACAAATGCCCCTCTCTAACCAGCGAATTCTTACACGACCGCTTCTTCGCCCAATCCTCCAAATTGTTCAATGACACCTGAGCAATCTCACTCAGTGCCTCGCGCGTGAAAAACGCCTGATGTCCACACACGAGAACATTGGGAAACGTCATCAACCGCATCAACGTATCATCATGGATGATCTCCGCTGAATGGTCATTATAGAACAAGTCCCCTTCTTCCTCATACACATCCAACGCCAACCCACCCAGTCTTCCATCCTTCAACGCCTGCACCGCATCTCTTGTATGGATCAGCCCGCCTCGCGAGGTATTCACCACCATTGCCCCCCTCTTCAACTTGGCCAGGCTTTTCGCATTGATCAAATGTCTAGTTCCCTCTGTCAATGGACAATGCAAGCTCACCACATCACTCCGTCCCAGCAATTCGTCCATCCCGACATAACTTCCTCCTATCTCCTTCTCAAACTCTTCCCCACCATATGGATCGGCCCCAAGCAACACACAGCCGAACCCCTTCATGATTCTCGCGAATGCCATTCCAATGCGGCCTAATCCCACCACGCCCACCGTCTTTCCTGCCAAGGTCTGGCCTAGGAACCCTTCTAGATTGAAGTTGCCTTCGCGAACACGGTTATACGCGCGGTGCGTCTTGCGGTTCAAGGTTTGGATCAGCGCCACGGCGAACTCGGCCACAGCTTCGGGGGAGTAGCTGGGGACATTGGCAACGAAGAAGCCGAGGGCTTCGGCGGCGGGGAGGTCGATGTTATTGAATCCAGCGCAGCGGAGGAGAATGGCACGGACACCGTAGGAGTGTAGAGCGTGCAGAACAGTAGCGTCGAGGGTGTCGTTTACGAAGACACAGACAGCATCACTGGAGCGCGCGAGGGAGACGGTGGACGCGGTTAGAGCGAAGGGGTGAGCGGTGATGGTGGTTAAATCTGGGTGAAAAGTTTGGAGGGTCTGATTGAAGTAATGGGTATCGTATGATTTGGCGGAGAAGAGAGTGAGTTTCATTGTGCTCGCTGATTGATTGTTAAGATGTACTGTGAATTGTGTGAAATAAGTGCTGGTAAGTAGTTTTTAAGAAGTATGGATGAGAGGCTGGCGGGGTTACACATGGGAGGGGTAATGACGTATCCTATATTGACAGTTGAGTTTATTAGGGTTTGTTTGGGTTTACATGGGGTGATGCTGTATGGATGGCTGGATGCAGTGAATGGCGTGTTGAGCGCATTTGGTGATGCCGACCGGCTCGATTGGTACGCAGTGGCAGCCCGCACCTGGTACGTCCCTCTTCATGCGTCCGGGAATGAAGCTTATATGGGCTCCCTATCTGGCTACAACATATCAGGCAAATGTATACTAGCTACGAGCAATGCCTCTGTACTCCAACTTCAACGATAACAACTGTTTGTGAGTTGTCCGGGATATTGATCCTGCTGCTAATTATAGATATGACACTAGCGTATCTATTAATGTGATGGGTATGGAGCTTCAGGGTTAATAAACACATTCAGCTCACCGGCCAATTACGACGTCTATCTACAAAGTTACACAACTCAATCACAGTATCGGGATACTATATTGCCTTGACCTCAATGGATCGACGCGGGGGAGCTAACTGTCTGCCACTTGCTGTTCTCGGAAAAGTGACTCCGCCCCCGCCAACCAAGTGGACATCGGACATCTCCTGCCCCCATCGGAATGTCACAAATCTGACTTCAGACCCTGGAGATCTCAATTGAATGTCAACATGTACATCTTCCGTCACACCTCACGGGCGGAAGAAGTCGACATCATGACCTGATCACGAGAGGAATTGATGGAATTGCCCTGGATGAAATGTGCTCGTCATGGATGCTCTTGACCCACCATCTCCACCCATGGTTGCTGTCCCCAGGCACAGCTAGCTGGCAGACACATCACCACCACCACTGATTTTAAGGCCTCCATTAGCAACACGCCAAGTTAAGAGCAAGCCGGGGTATGTATGGATGGTCTGATCGGATATTAGAAGCACGGGGATAGATCGGATAATATACCCAGGCAGATAGATACTAACTGACCATCGTCTCAGCTCATCCGATGCTGTCAGCCCCACCCCCTTTTTTCTTTTCTTCGGCGGTCCGTTAAAGCTTGTTCGATTGTCACTCCAACAGGAATTTTTTGGGCCAATACCTCCCTTTGCTTTACTGTCCAAACGTGCCTTGCTTCCAACCAATTTCAGGAGATTATTCCTGTTCTGCTGGCCATGGACCCTTCCACCTTTATCGATCCCTATCTGACCCCGCCCGATCGACTGGTCCTCGATAACCTGCTGCTCGATAGCCAATCCACCCCGGAAAAGACCAAGTCATGTACATTCTCACCCGCCGTCAACTAACTTCCTTGCCACTGCTCTTCCGGGTTTCATGCTAACTTTCTCCTGCCACTAAAGCCGGCGGGACCCCCGATGTCCCATCAGATGCCGACGCGACCGTCAGCCAACTGGAGGCCTTTAATGACCCCCGGCATGCCGACTTCGTCCCTACCATCTTCTTCACCTGGGATTTGAAGGACATCAAGCTGCCTCCTCTGCTAGATGCATGGCTGCTGCAACCGTACATCAGGGCCGCGCGGTCCATCGTCCGGGTGGACACCGACGTGGTCATGCTCACCCACCTCTTGCTCTACTTCACCACCTCTGTGCCTAGTGCTATCTATCTCTTCCGTAACTTCCACTGGCTCCATGGCGTGCTGCACTGGATCATGCAGTCCTACTACGTGGGCACCTATACCCTGATGATGCACCAGCACATCCACATGGGGGGTATCCTGAAAAAGCGCAATTGGTGGCTATTCGACATGATCTTTCCCTACATCACGGACCCGCTCATGGGCCACACCTGGAACTCTTACTTCTACCATCACGTCAAGCATCACCACGTCGAAGGCAACGGCCCGGATGATCTATCTTCAACGATCCGTTACCAGCGCGACAGTCTGGCCGATTTTGCCTGCTACGTCGGCCGCTTCTACCTCTTCATCTGGCTGGAGCTGCCCACCTACTTCCTGCGCAAAGGAAAGACCCTGCTGGGTTTGAAAGCCGCCTTTTGGGAACTCAGCAGCTACCTGATGATGTATTTGCTCTGGAACTACGTCAGCTGGAGGGCGACTTTGTTTGTCTTTGTTCTTCCGTTCCTGCAGCTGCGTGTGGGTCTCATGGTGGGGAACTGGGGACAGCATGCGTTTGTCGACGAGACGGATCCCAACAGTGACTTTCGCTCCAGTATCACCTTGATTGATGTAGCGGTATGCTCCAATTATTCCATCAATTTTGACCACATACTCACTATGAATAGAGCAACCGCTTCTGCTACAATGACGGCTACCACACCTCGCACCACCTGAACCCGCGCCGTCACTGGCGCGACCACCCCCTCGCCTTCCTGCGGCAAAAGGACCGGTATGCATCCGAGCATGCCCTCGTGTTCCGCAACATCGACTACATCATGATCACGGTGCGACTGATGCGCAAGGACTACGACCACCTGGCGCGGTGTCTAGTGCCGATGGGCGACCAGATTGGCATGACGCATGCAGAGCTTGCGGCGATGCTGCGTCGCAAAACGCGTCGCTTCAGTGAGGAGGAAATTAAGCGGAAGTTTGCTTGATTTCCTCTTTCCGCTCATACATTTTGTGCTATACCCTAGCTGCTTCTGGAAGTAATTCCGATACTGGAAGAGGAGTTAGGGTTGTATATACAGACTCACATACTCTAAAAGAAGATGTAATACATAATATATTGCATACACATACACACACAATCTCCCTACTAAGCAGCAGAAGAATTCCGACCAACCCACCTCCCCAACAGCGGCACCCTCCCCAGCACCCTGGGCACAATCCTCGACCCATGCACAATCAACGGCACAACAGCCACCATCCACATCACATACACCACCGCAACTGCAACCCCCAACTTGACCCTCTCCCAAAACGAGACCTCCCCTCTATTTCCCCCTAATAATGCCCTCTCTTCATCCCTTACCCCATTGGCTTCCAAAGCATCCACCATCCTCCCCACCACCCTCCGATTAATCCTCTCCCACGTCATATCCTCCGCAAAGACCCTCGCCCCTCTCCCCAACCGTCCCCTCAACCTCCCATCCCGCAACACCTCCCCCACAAGCCCACTGAACACGCCCACTTCCCCCTCCGCCACCGGAACCAAATACCCCGTCTCCTGATTCCTCACAATATCCGACGGTCCCCCCTGATCCCTCGCGATGACCGGCACCCCACTCGCCATAGCCTCCAGCACAACCAGCCCAAATGTCTCCGTAACAGAGCAATGCAGGAATATATCCGCGGAGGCGTAGGTCCTCGCCAACTCCACCCCAGTCTTAAACCCGAGGAAGATAACATGTGAAGAGACGTGGTGAAAGAGGGATTGGATGCGTGCCGTCACAGCTGGATTGGCGTTCCCACCGACTATCACCATCTTAAAGGGGATTTTCGTACTGGAAAGAAGATGGGTAATGGCTTCAGCGAGGAACTCGAAACCCTTTTCTGGCGCGATCCGACAAACTGTTAGGAGGATGGCCTCGCTGTTCGGGGCTAGCGTATCCCGTAGGGACTGGGATCGACGGGACGGGTTGAAGAGAGTTGTGTCCACCCCCCGTCCTAACCGGTGGGTTTTGTGGATGGGGGTATTGGTGGATCGTAAGTAGGTTAGGACATCGCTGCACGGGTAGAAGATCGTGTGGATGCAGGGCGTGCGGAAGAGATATCCCTCTACGAGGGAGAGGAGCCAGACGGCGAAGGTGGAGAGGGGTCTAGGGAAGATGATGGAGCTGTAGGAGGAGAGGTCTGTTTGGTAGTTTAAAAGCGTTGGTGGAGGGGAGTGGAGTTGGCGGAGTTGAAGGAGGAGTTGGAAGCCTAGACTGGCTGGGCTGGCGATGTAGATTAGGTCTGGGGTGAAGGTTTGGGGGTAGATTGTGGTGGTGAGATGGAAGGGGTAGACGAGGGTGAGGTCGGGGTTGTAGGGGAGGGGGTAGCCGGGGAGGCGGATTGTTGTTGTTGTTTCTTCTTCGTGGGTTTGATGATGTTGTGATGGTGAGGGTGATGGCGAGGATGATGGTGGTGGTGAGGTGAACTGTGGTGCCACGACAGCCAGTTCGACGCCATTGCGACGCAGATACTCGATCAATTTGCCGGTTGTGCGACTGACGCCGTTAACTGGACCTAAAGATTCGGTGGTGAGGAGGATGCGTTTTCCTTTGAGGATGCTGGGGAAGTCTTCGGAGGGGGGAGTGAGTTGGGGCATGTTGATGATGTTGATACTATTCAACCAATATCTGATTGGTGGACTGCCGTATATCTAGACACAGTCTACAACTACCAGGAGTGCACGCACGTACTTATGTTCTACAAGAATAGACAATACGGTGTGCAGAGCAACCAGGCTCAGGAGGACAAAACTAACACCCACAGATCATCATTCCCCTACACTGGGAATCACTGCAGGTGATGCACAAGAACTGTTCGTGTCGCCGGGCTGGATGCGGGCACGTGGGCTGGCTGGAGAGAATCGCTCGTTCGGGCGGATCACCAGCCAAATTTCATGCCTTCAATGCCTCCTGCATCCCCCCTAACCCTTGATCCAGTGGCAGTCCATGCTGCCCCCCGCGTGCATCAACCCATGCAGCTCTGTGGCATTGACTCCCTCTTTCGCCCTCATGCTCTGCTGCTCACGTTCCGCTGCAACGGCCATGCGCCCTCCGCGCAAGACCTTATCTCCTCGGTCGCCCGACGATCTCTTGCCTCTAGGTGTCTGGGCTAATGCTTATACTGCTTGTGGTCCCGTCTCCCTTGTCTTGTCTTGTTGTCTTGCCCCTCAATCGTCTCGTCAGTTCCTGGACTGACTGGTGAGTGAGGTCTGTCGCCGACGGTTACACAAGAAATACTACAGCAACAGCAGCAGAAGCAGCACAATGGATCTCGCTTCTTCACCACGAAGCTCTCTTGAATGGAGTCTAGACGACAGTTCAACCTGTCCCACTACCCCCGCATCTAGTCCGCTGTTTCGCGCCGCAAAGGTGGACGATGTCTCGTCGCATTCCACCTCGCCTGCGGGAATCACAGACATCCAGGGAGCCCACAATGACGCAGCGACCGCCAATTCGGCACGTATACAGGCCGATGACCGTGTAAAGAGCGTCTGCGTGGTGGGTGCAGGATACGTGGGTAGGCTTCTGCTGGCACATCTGTCCTTATCTACGAGCCAAACTAAGCCAGCCCTACAGGCGGACCAACCGCGGCTGTTCTCGCGCTATACAATCCCTCCGTCGCAGTGACAGTGCTGGACCGGGATCCTCGTCGCATTCAGAGCTGGAAGTCGGCGCATCTCCCCGTACATGAACCCACCCTGTACAATGTCGTGCGCGCAACGCGCGATGGCTCGGACGTGGCTCAGAGTGTTGGTACCGAAGGCTCAGAGTACTCGCGCCGACAGCCAAACCTGTTCTTCACATGCGACTCGATGACTATCGCAGACGCAGACATGGTCTTCCTGGCCGTCAACACTCCCACCAAGACCTTCGGTCTCGGCGCCGGCAGAGCCACCGACATGACAGCCGTCGACGGCGCCGTGCAGGAGATAGCACGCTACGCAAAGCCAGGAGCCATCATCGTCGAGAAGAGCACCGTGCCATGTGGAACGGCCGAACGAGTGCGACAAACAGTAAGCTGCATCCTCAAAACTTTTATAACTGAAAGTAAAGTTGACGGACCAGCTCACCACCCTCCGCCCCAACACCCCCTTCGAAGTCCTCTCTAACCCCGAATTCCTCTCCGAAGGCTCCGCCATCGACAACCTCGTCCACCCAGACCGCGTCCTAATCGGCTCCTCAGGAACAGCCCCCGGCCGACGCGCCGCCCGCATGCTCGCCCACCTCTACTCCTGGGTCCCTCCGACGCGCATCCTCCAAGTAAACGCCTGGTCATCGGAACTCGCCAAACTCGTCGCCAACGCCATGCTAGCCCAGCGCATCAGCAGCATCAACTCCATCAGCGCGATTTGCGAGAAGACCGGCGCAGACGTCGACCAAGTGGCGCGCGCCATTGGCATGGACGCCCGCATCGGACCACAGTTCCTCAAAGCCGGAGTCGGATTCGGCGGGTCCTGTTTCCGCAAAGACATCGCCAGTCTGACATATCTCGCTGAATCACTAGGATTAGACGAAGTCGCGCACTACTGGCGCCAGGTCAACGCTATGAACGAGTACCAGCGGGTGCGGTTCGCACGGAGAGTCATCGACCGCTTCGATGGGAATCTATCCGGGAGGAAGATCGCCGTGTTGGGGTTCGCGTTTAAGAAAGACACTGGGGATACGCGCGAGTCGCCGGTTGTGGATGTAATCAGACTGTTGCTTGAGGAGAGGCCGGCGGAGATTGATATCTTTGATTTGTTCTGTCATGAGGAGGATATATTGCGTGAGTTGGAAAGTGTCTGTGGGAAGGAGGCAGTGGCTGCTAGGGTGAAGGTCCTGTCGGATCCATATTTGGCCTGTTCGCAGGCTAATGCGGTTTTGGTCATGACGGATTGCGAACAGTTCAAGAATGGGCGGAAGCGCAGTGCTGCTCGCTCGGACTCGGAGGTGTTTGAGAGTCTGGATGAGATGCTTTCGCCGGCGCGCAGGGATGAGGAGTGGACGTACAATGGGGCTACTTATCGGTTGACGCCGGAGGAAGGGTGTAGGAGTGACTGCGCGGCGTGTCGGACCTGGGCGCCGCGGTCAGTGGCCGTGGTGAATGAGCCGTTGGAGTGGGCGCGCATTGCGTACAACTTGAAGGATCCGAAGTGGGTGTATGATGGACGTGGATGTTTAGATGGGGCGGAGTTGCAGAAGTTGGGGGTGGAGAGTGAAGCTATTGGGCGGATGTAATCATACCATTTATTTTCATTGATAGATAGATTGCAAATTAATTACTACTTAATACTATCATATATACCATACCCCAATCCCAATCACATCAAACATAGATAGAAGAAGAAAGGGAGAAGTTACAGAGAAGCCTCAAACTTCCCATCCACCTCCTCCACCTTCTTCACAGCCCTAATATACCCCTCCTCCTTCTGCAACCTCTCCGCATACTTTCCCAACAGCGGAAACTTATCCAACTGATCCGCCAACCTCCCGGACATAGCAATCACGGGAAAACTCATCATAATATCCGCGGCCGTCAACTCCGTCCCGCACAGATACGCACCCCCATTCGGACTACTCCGCAACTGATCCTCCAAGAACTCCAAATGCGATTGGATATTCCTCGCCAGGAAGGCCTTTTCCACCTGGCCCGCCACAAGGCGCGGAAGCGGCTTGACGAAGAAGGGCATGCCGGGGGGGTTTTTTACCGCTATTACAACCACCATGAGCATTAGCATTTACATCCTTCCTTCCTTGTCCGCGGGACAAATATCATCATGGGGGGGTAGCATACTATCCATAACCAACTGCATCACCAAAAACGGCATGAGACTTCCCTCAGCATAGTGCATGAAGTAGCGATAGCGCATCCATTCCTCGGTTTCACCGCCGACCACACCCTCCTGGTTGGGTTTCCATCGAGCAGGGAGGAGAGGTTTCTCTGCGGCGTTGTCGCCGAAGTGATCGAGTAGGTACTCGATGATAATGCCGGACTCGGCGAGCACGATGGGCTTCTGGTCTGGAGGGGCGTTCGCGGGTTGGATGGTCAATAGAGGGGACTTTCCGAGGGGATGGATCTCTTTTAGTTCCGCGGGTGCGAGCTTGTCGGGGCCGCGGTGGTAGATCTTGAGCTCGTAGGTTAGGTGCAGGGCTTCGAGGAGCCAGAGGATGCGGTGGGAGCGGGATTGGGAGAGCCTGTACACATTATATGATTATTTCGTTGTTAGTGGTTGGGGTGGATGGGGTGGATGGAATGGGAGGGAGGGAGGGTATGTACCAGTAGAGGGTGATTTTGGTGCCTTTGTTGGGGTCGGTCATTTTGGTGGTATTGATCAAATAGTACTGGATTGGATAAGTGGTGGTGGTGTGGTGAATAGGAGAATGGTGTGTACGTTATCTTATATGTGACAAGCTTAGGGATGAATGTGATTGAGTGCTCATCACACATAAATTAGAACTTATCATGCGCGAGCGAACCTCGGATGTTCTCGTGAAGACTGACGCCATGAGTGGGGCGCCCATTTTTGCGATCATACTGTAGATACCAGAGGACGAGGGATTCTACTGTTCAACGTTGTGTAGTGTAGATAAGTAGTGTATATGTGTATTTGATAGTTGCTAACTATGTAGATTGTATCTATAATAATCATCAGTAATGATATAGTGATCATAATAACATCCTGATATCCACTTACCTGCATACCTGCATAACTACATAACACAACAATATTATACACTTTACTAATTATGCTGTCCATCACATGACCCAACCTCAACATCATCACCACCACACCCAATACGCATATACCCCCAGCTCGCCAGCAATAAACCAGCGCTCCCCAAACCGCAACCATGGCCGGTCCCAGCAAGTGTATGTCATTAATCTCTGCTTCTCCTCAATTCCAATTGCTAACCGCTACCTCCAGCTCTGATCCTTGATCCGGCCCTCCAGAAATACTACGGTCCGTTTGTTCCCGCCAATAAGACTTGACGCATTACATTACTCCCCTCCCTTCAGAAACAACAATTACCTCTCAGAGAGGGCATTGGGAGGAATACATACTTGGATGGATGAGAACTGACAATCGGGTTATGCAGAACTCAACGCCAACCGCTACAAGTACTTCCGGTGGACGCCGCGCCATGCCTGGTTCTCGTTCCTCTATATGGCGCTGATTCCTGGTGCATTGGGCTATGTCGCTTATAAGACTGATGTGAGTGATCTGGGTTACATTGGGATCTGTTGGGGGTGAATGCTAATGGTTGTGTAGGGTCTGTACCAGCTGCGTGGAAAGCGCAGGGGCGATACGATTGTCGAGTGGTAGATCGATTCGATCCTCTCATGTGTGGTTGGGCGGGAGAAAAGCGTGATGTGATGTGATGTGATGGGTCGGGCTGGATGTGTATCTACTACTACTACTACTACTATTATACCGTTATTGAAGATTTCGTTTACTACATCAAATTCTTTGCGTTGCTGATGGGCACAGCACACAGTCAATAATACAGACATATTACTAGTAGATAGTAGACAAGACATCCCTGTAGCGAACCGGGTATCCTCAACTCCTAACACTCATACATACACATACAGCATCAAAATCAATCATTCAAGCAAGTAATCAGTACGGCGCCCACCCCCTTCTCCCTCCTCTCCCTCCACCACCACCACCACCCCTCTCCTCCGGAACTCTCTCCCCCCGTCTCCAATCCCCCGGTGGAATCCTCCCCCCTCTCATCCCACCACCTCCTCCACCTCCTCGATACCTCTCCCCCCTACCAGCATCGCCAGGAAACGCCCTCATCCCCCCACCCATCGCCATCCCCCGACCGGGATTAACCGGCGGCGCCACAGACCCATCCTCAAGCGGCGGCAGTATCGCACAATCAACATAATCTCCAATAACGAACCTTGCCTCCTGCAACGTCTTATCCGCATCATTGCCTTGGATCCTCAACCTCCCTCCTGCTCCAGCACCACTACCCTTCCTCTGCCCTCCTTCCTCTCCGTTCGCATTCGCATTCTCATCCTCATCCCCACCATTGGCAATCGCACTCTCCCTCGGTCCGATAATCACACTCCCCAAATCCTTCGCGAGATACCTCCCCCGCGCGTCGGGCCCCATTGTCGCGGCGCCTTTGGTGTCCGGGTATATGAGGCGGAAGCAGAGGCGCGTACCGACCGGCGGGTCGGGAAGGAGACTAGGTAGCGCGGAGGTCAGGAGGTGGGAGAGTTCGCGGAGAGTGCATGATTGCCAGGTGTAGATTTGGAGGTGGGGAGGGAGTTGTTGTGGTGGTGGGGGACTGCGCGTGCGGATGGCGTTGGGGCCGCTCGTGGGACCGCTGTAGGACGAGGATGAAGCTGTGGAGGAGAAGTCGGAGAGATGGTGGTAGTTGTTGAGTCGGTAGAAGAGCTTGAGGTGGAAGGGGGTTGTGGTTTGGCGGTCGATTGGAGGTGGTGTCATTTTGCTGCTGCTCTTCTTTATTTTTCGTTTGTTTTGGTAGTCACCTGTTGGTGTAGTCGGTTCCAAAAGATATAGTGTGCGATTGTAGTGTGTAGTATAGGATGGTGGTTATTGCATTGAAAGAGAGAAATGAACGAAGGTAGAGGATGAAGCTTGCAGCAAACAAGCTATCCAGGCGCGGGTGTTTCTGCTGGATCTGGACGGCGGAAGTTCCGCCGCGGCAAGTTTGCCGAACACGGGTGTCTCTTTGCCTCCGATTCACCCAACTCTATCTATCTAATCGCCACAACCAGCACTACACCTTCACTGGGATCACACTACAACGCCAAGATGGACTTCGCATCGTTAATGTCCAAAGAAATCTCCAAAGCAAAACCCAAACCAGACTCTCAAGACACCTCCAAACCCAAATACACCCGGCGCGGCGACCTCGAAGCCGCCCGCATCGCCGCCTACAATGAAGAACAAGAGCGCCTCGCGCGCGAACGCGAAGAGCGCAACGCCCTGAAACGCAAGCTCGAAGACGAAGAAGCCGAGCGTCGTCGCGAACGGGAAGAGAAGAAGCGCAAACTGGCCGAGGAGTCGCGCAAGAAGCGCGAAGAGGAAGAAGCTGCTCGTGAACGAGAGCGCAGGAAGAGACTCGGCTTGCCGGAGCTGCCGCCTACGGAGTCTGGAGATGATAAAGAGGGTGAGGGCAAGGAAGGTGGCGAGGAGGATATACCGGAGGAGGAGCTGTTGAACAAGTTGCGGGACATGGAAGAGCCGGCGATATTGTTTGGGGAGACGCACAAGGGCCGCCTGAGACGGTATAGGAGGCTGTTGCAGCGGTCGTTGACGCCGCAGCCGCAGCTGTCAGATGGGCCGATTCCGACGACGTTGGAGCTGGTGCCGGAGGTGGATATGAAGATTCCGGAGACGGCGCCGAAGGATCTGGAGGGGAAGAAGTTCTTGTTTCGCCAGCTGGCATCGTACTTTAATATGGTGCTGCGGGAGTGGGAGTTGGCGTTGGCCAAGCGAGATGCGTCGGTGAAGTTGAGCTTGCAGGGAAAGCAGGCGTATAATGCCATGGTTCAGTCGCGGGAGAATATGAAGCCGTTGTTTCGCAAGTTTGAAAAGGTGGATATCGATGATGGAGTGCTTGAGCATGTGGTTGAGATTGTCTCTAAGGCGCAGCAGCGGCGGTATGTCGATGCTAATGATGCCTATCTGAGGTTGAGTATTGGAAAAGCGTACGTATCTTCTTTCTCTTTTGAGGTCTGTTCCTGGCTAATCTTTTGCAGTGCTTGGCCTATCGGTGTTACCATGGTTGGTATCCACGAGCGATCCGCACGAGAAAAGCTGCATCAGAGCGATCAGCAGGCGCATATTTTGAGTGATGAGATTACGCGCAAGTACTTGCAGAGCATCAAGCGATGTCTCAGCTTTGCGCAGACGCGGTGGCCTCCGGATGATCAGTTGCAGATCATGGGCTAGCCTGATGTTGATATGTATCTATACCCATAAGACGTGTGTGCTTTTCAACACTTATCTCTACATAATCAGTAAACACTAGCGAAGCTCTCGAGCAAAAACAATCAATCCAAACACTTTATTCATGTATATCACATTTAGCCAGCGCTTAACCTGCATCATTCGGCTGATCTACATCCACCAAGAGCCTTAAGGTATGTCTAATCTGCCAAGGGCGATCCCAGCTGACTCAGGAGCCGCCGAGATGCAGCAGACAACAGCCCAGATAGCACTACATCTGTATACAAAGACAACCCAGTAATAACTAACAAGATGCGATATATAACCCCCATACGCTCGTCTTTCCTACCAAATCTGCCATTCTCCAGTACCCGTACACCATGCCCTCAACAGCAACTCTTCCAATCCAACAGGAAATGCATATCCACCCTCACCAAATCCCGCCAAAGACCACTCCCACCCGGCACAACCATAACAAGTGACTCCAACCAGACCTACCATATTGAAGAACTACTCACTCGCGGTGGTAAATCCGGGTTACACGTCTACCGAGCGAGGTACATACACCCCTCTCATACCATACCATTAACCCTAGACTACTCACTCACTCCAACCACAGCACCACCACCAACAACAACAAACAGCAATACATCATAAAGAACAACATCCCAGGCGACTTCCAACACCAGCTCAACATCCAGAACCAGCTATCATCCTGTTCAAATATCCGGACATTCGTTAATTCTGTCCGCGAGACAGAAGTATTCATCTACCCCTTTCTAAGCGGGGATTTGCTCCGCTTTAGTCAGAGGAGGATGATATCCCACGAAACGAGGAAGAGGATTCTCCGCGATGCATTAAGTGGATTAGTTGAGATGCATGAGCGGGATATGGTGCATAATGGTAGATCTAATCGGTTAATGTTGAATGATACGTTATACTAACACCCAGAAGACATAAAACCAAACAACATCCTCATCGACTACACAGACCCCTCCACAGCCGATAATAACAACTAGCCATCAATAAAGTCAATCCAAATCTCCGACTTGGAAGATACAGTCATCGTCCCACCAGGGAAATGGCTCCGCGGACCCCTCTGCGGCAACGCCATCTGGCGCAGCGCCGAGAGCTGGGCGCGATCTCGTCAGAACCAGGCGTCTGATGTGTTTTCGTTTGCACTGGTTGTATGTTTAACCTGTTCTTGTCTCTGTATCCATTGATTGTGAGTCGGCTGATATATCACGCAGATAGTTTATGTGATGGCCGATGAAATGGTCCTTCGTGTTCCTGATGAGCAGTTGAATGCTGCTGACGCATGGAGGTATATTCTTCGTCTTCATCTATCGTACTTTGCCGACGTGGATGGCATGGAGCGCTTTCTTGAGCATATAGGGAAGCAAAATCCATTCTTTGATCGCATTTTGGAGCTAATCAATACGTTCGGACCGGAGAATCCGAGACAGCCGGTTGAGTGTTGGGGGTTTCTGGAGCCGGGGTTGAGGGATTTGGTGGCTAGGATGACTTATCTTGATCCCAGGGGGAGGATTACGGCGAGGGAGGCGCTGGGGCATCCTTGGTTTAGGTGATTCTGAGGGAAGGGTTGGGGTTGTCGAAAAGTGAAGTGGATCATGTTATGGTTGCTCTGGGAGGGTTGGCAAATGGGTTAGGTGCAGTAGTATATAGTTCTCGGTTAGTGCTAGAGTTCTGTCGCGGAAATTTGTTAGAACAGTGCTTATCTCTCGGCTTACATTTATGTGGGTTTTATTTTGGATTGAGGTGGTGGCCAGGGTTGTACAATCGTGGGTGTACTCATCTAAAAGACTTCTTTTATTGCAAGTAATGACAAGCCCTCTCCAGTCAGAATATATGCAGATCACTAGAACAGTTCAGCAGCTATACATGAGTAACAACATATCCTCCCTTTATAAACAAAGCCAATGGCATGCTATGTACAATCATTCATCACATCTATCATCTATCATGCATCATCATCATTCCTACCTCACGTCAAACCATCTCCAAAGCCATCTCCACAACCCATTCGGCATAACCCTCTGCGGCCAAGTCGACGCCATGCGGTCGTTATCCACAGCACGAAACTCGCTAGGTGGCGAGATATCGTGTCCATCTATGCCACGCATGACGCCCAACGATGACTGGGGCCGAGAGTTATTGTTCGATCCACTGCGGACTCGCTCTTTGCCCGTACGTGCGTCAACCAACTTCCCAGCGGCTTGGACGCAGCTGCCGTACGCAAACCGGATGAGAGAATCGCCTGTGAGGCTGCCAATGATGAAAACGTCTGGCGCAATCTCAATATCGTCATACACTTTGCTGCGCAAGGACCGGGCGGAGATGACGGGGCTCGTTTCTGTGGTCGCATCATGGTCGAGTACTTCATCAAGAAGCGGACGGTCGAGGTAATCGAGGGTGCCTCGTCGGCCAGTAGCGTAGACCATCCCGCGGACGGCGCGGGTGACGGTGCTCCCGTCAGGCTGGCGGAATGTGACGAGGGCTTGATCCTCTTGCATCTCGACGTCCACAACTTCCGAGTTAGGCAATCCTTCGTAGATATCTTCCCATGAGCGAGTTTCCAAGAAAGGGATCGAGGTGGTGCGCCGCGGCTTCACTCGTTTCTTCGTGGGGTCTGCTGCAACCGCAGCTCGTTTCATCAGTCGATAGACTCCGGCGTATTCAGGATATGCTTGGTGGTGGCAGCCACGCAGCGGTGATGACCGCCCTTCCGGATCCCACTTGAACACATGGATGATCTTCTGATCCGCCGGCGCAGAGATGATGATATCCGCGGCAGAGAATCCAGAGCCGACCACAAGTAGCGGAGTCTGCGGAGTGGGCTGGAGCGAGGTCAAAGGCTGCAGCATTGGGCTGGGCTGCAGCACTTGAGTGAATATACCACTAGCCAGGACCAAGTGCTTGCAGTGGATGTTGTGAGAGCGAATGTAAAACCCATCATCTGTTCGTGATATGCCGGAGATGGTCTCATTGAACCGGAACACATCATCGATCTGAACCGCCTCGGGGTATGTGCGGAAGTAGCTTGCTGTTTCTTCCCGACTGGGTCGGGTATATGCCGGAAGCTCCTTGCCCGTGATCTTCCGGTGGTGCTCAGCGAACGAATAGCCCGGGAGAGACAGCATTGACGCATAGCTGAGGGTCTGGATGTCCCAGCTGGCAGGCATGGGATTATCAGTCCACTGACCCCCTGCATGCTGAGCATTCCCGAACACCAAATGGGGAACGGCCTTTTCGGGCACGAACCGCCATTCGACATTCGTAATGGCCTCAAGCTCTTCTACATCCACGCTGGGACGCACCAGCGTGTCCAGGAGCACGTTCACGGGGAGAGCCTGCGTGGAGTACGACAGTCTCGAGGCGGCGAAATGATCCGTCAAAGCGTGCACGTCCACATGGAGCAACTCCGGGGAATCCTGGAGCTTCGCATGCAGAAGCGGGTCAGGATGAGGAGGATTGGAGGAATAAAATGGAAGATGGCCATGAAGAATATACGACAGAATCATGGCCGACGGCCCGTTCCCTGTGGGGGATCACATCAGCACGATAACACGGACCAGGGGGAGAAATCAAATAAAATCCCAGCATCTCCGTTGGCACGAAATGGCGACATACCGACGATAATGGTATCAGTCTCCAATGAAGGCATCTCTTGCGCCTTCACCCGCCCAACCATCGTGGGGCATGCTGTTTGCGACATGCGATAGCAGGGTTCCTCTGACAAGTCCAACCACACACAGTATCAAATATCTACAGTAGAGCCACTACCTCCAGCTTAAGGGAGAGAAACCGGAGGGCCATCGAGTGGCCGTTACATTGACAAGAAGGAGGAAAGATTAAGCTTGTAGGGAAACCATAGGAAGAGGAAGGGGGAGAGGGGATGCCGATTCCGCGAGCGGACAAGGCAGGGCCTGGGGAACGCTGACAAACTGACAAATGCAAGACCCTCAACTCGACTATGTAATCCTTACTTATTCCAGTAGGAATGGATCCAGCCAAGGGACGTGGGGGGGCGATTGCTTGCCAGCCTCCAATGATGACCGTTGCTCCGTGCCACCGGCGCATCCGGGGTCGAGAAGGTGAGAAGTTTGGCTGCCACGATTGACCCGGCAGGCCGTGGTGAATGGACCCCGTCAATCTGGGTTCCGAAACACTTTCATTGAAAGGAAGAGCAACATTCCGAAGCGATAACGGCAGTCCCGGATAATGAATAATATTCCCAATAAATCAAGAGATCGACAATGCATGACTTTGACGTTGCGGGGTCTTCCTGTTCCGGAAGGTAGGGCTCGGGGTCTGCATCGTATATACCCTATACCCTACCTTCCTTTTCGAGACACGGCTGACGCGTGGAACCCCAGGCAATCAATCTATCGCCATCGGCGCTGGCCCAGCGTCCTCCGTATCGAAGCGCAAGAGACAAATCAAGCAGCAGGTGGAATTTCTCAAGAATCCAGCCTTCTGCTGCTGCCATGATTCTGTTACCTGAGCTGTCGTCCCGCCGGTTCTAATTGGAATTCCGAGGCTGCCTCCGCCGGAGGTTATCTGGTCTAGTCTCCGCAGTCCGTCCCTCTCCGCAATCATGTATCATCTGGCCAAGTCCCTGTATATGTATGCTACTAGCAAGGAGGGTGAGTCGATGTCTTGGTCATAATCCCATCCTTGCGCGCTAATATCACGGTAATAGAATACTCCGTACTCCTCCTTGGCCTCGATAACGCCGGCAAAACTACCCTCCTGTCGCAAATCAAAGCCCTCTATCAACCCCGACCAGATGGCGCCCCCGCCCCTAACCCCGGGAAAACCGTGCCCACCGTCGGCCAAAACGTCGCGACCATCTCCTTACCGGACATGTATCTGAAGATCTGGGACGTGGGGGGACAAATCTCCATGCGGAACCTCTGGCAAAGCTACTACACCAGCTGCCATGCCATTATCTTCGTCGTCGACAGTGCCGACGTCGGTCAAGACCCAGATATCACTCGGCTTCCGAGTCGACGACCTAGCTCTGCATCCGGTCCGTCAGGTGGCCACTCGGGCGCATTTACGGAGGAAATGGTCGGGATCAATGCGCCCGGCAGCGATTTCGGTCGGCTCGACGAGTGTCGGCAAGTGCTGGAGTCGGTTCTACAGCATGCGGATGTGGCGGGTGTACCGATCCTCGTTCTCGCCAACAAGCAAGATCGGGAAGACTCGGTGGAGGTTGTTCGTATCAAGGAGGGGTTTGTGCGCAAGGTCTTTGAGGGAGAGTCTGGAGCCGGGGTGAGGGATAGTCGTGTGTTACCGGTCAGCGCGTTGATGGGGTCGGGCGTGCAAGAAGCGGTGGAATGGGTGCAGACGCGAGTCAAGTGGAATAAAGAGGGACGACCACCGTTAATGAAGTGATAGACTTGGGGATGGGATGGTCTGTTGCGAAGAATTTCGATTCTTTTTCATGTTCTTATATCGTGTTATTCGGGCTTGAGTTTGGCGTTAAGAGGTTATGTGATCGGGAAGATACCTTAATTGCATTTGTTTGTTTCAACTTGGGGTCATTTTCAAGTGTCTATATTTAGTGCATGTTGTACCTCAACCATGTAGACAGTCATATCTACATCCAGCAATGACCACAGCACAACATACCACAAAACACTGCAAAACACCTACTACATCATAATTATCATCTCCATGGCCTAGATCAAAACAAACTGCCAATTCCATGCATCGGCATCTGACGGAGACATCCCTAATCATCCCGTACCAGATACTGCAGAGTTACACCACATCCATGGAAGCACGCGACCGAAAACCAGACTGATTGGACGCACTGAACATTCTCGATGCCAGTGCATGACGTTTATCCCAGTCAAAGCAGTGGTTCGATGAAAGTGAAGTGATGGAGAAGCATGCAAGCCATGAAGTCAACGCCGGTCACTTTGACGTCATTCCCGTGATGTCCTAAACTACCATCCCGGACGGTCTAGCTTGTATATATAGCTGTCCGGTTACTGTCTGCTTCAATTTCTGTTTAGCATCAATTGTAAGAGTTTTTACATGATATATAATCCTGATTTTCACCAAACAATAATTTCCGCACATATCCACCATGAGCCACTTCAACAACCCCGACTCCGTCGCTACAAACAAGCAGGGTGAATTTCACCCTTCGGTGAAACCTACGGGTCCTCTTGAGCAGGGCGGTGTATGTATTTCATTGGAATGGTGTCCATTCATGCAAGTTGTACTGATAGAAGCAGCACCAAGTAGGAAGAAAGGTCGCTCCTAGCGACTTCGTCCCCGAATTCCGCGCTGAGAGCCATCCCCCCGGTACCGCGCCCGCCAGCAGCTCCTACCAGCCTAATCCCATCGGCGAGGTTGGTGGCCAGGCACTCAACCCTAATGTCGAGCGCAGCCATGGCAAGGAATCTGTCAAGACCAACGCTAGCGATACCTTGATGGGCGCTACATCGCAGGACGTGCACCGGGGTATGGGCCAGCCTATTTCGGGACAGACCAGCAACGAGCTTCGTCATGATGGACAGCATGGACGCAAGGGCCAGAGTGCGGGCTTGGA